CTGGGTGTCACTGAAATGACCTTGCTCTGATTTGCAGGGTGCCTTCTGGGGTCTGATCTTGGGCCTGATCCTAGGCTTGATTCGGCTGGTCCTGGACTTCATTTACACGCAACCACAGTGTGACCAACCAGATGAGCGTCCTGCTGCGGTGAAGAACATCCACTATCTCTACTTCTCCATGATTCTGTCTGCTGTCACCATGATCACCATGTTAACCATGAGCTGGTGCACAGAGCCACCCTCCAAGGAGATGGTACACTTGGGTTCCATGCTAGAGCCATTGAGACCCTTGGCAGCAAGTGACAGGAAAGGGACCCACAGTGGCTTAATTAAGCAAAGAGGATGGACTGCTCAAAAAGCTGAAAAGTCCAGTGTGGGGCTTTAGGAATAGCTTGATTTCAAGACTCAGAACAGACCAGCAGAATCCAGCTCTCATTCTGCTTTTCTTCTCAGGCCCCACATGGGGCTGGTCCCTTCTCCGGATTTATCCTCTCTTATTCTCACTAAGCAAGAGCATAAACATTTTGTCCCAGCATTTCCAGCAAACTTCCTGATTCCCATCGATGGAGTCAGCTCAAGACATACATTCACCTGTGAACAAATTCAGTCCCTATGGCCAGAGAAACCTTTGAGCTGAGTGGCTGACTGCTGGGTCCCACAATACTCCAGAACTGCAGTAAACTCTAGGGACAAGCACAGGGGAAGGTTAGACCTGAACATGAGAGCCAGGGCTGTTAAAAAAATGCAGGGAAGTGAGTGTGGGAAGTGTCCACTGTTCTGAAGCATTCAGGGAGTTGAAGCTTGGAGAAGAGTGGAGAGGGTGAGACCAGGAGCAGACTCAGTCAGAACCAAAGGCCGGACTTGGGATTGGGCAGGGCATGTGAGAAAGGGGTGACGGCCAATTTCACAAGCCATCTCTTCTCCCTAGGTCAGTCGCCTGACCTGGTTCACACGTCATGACCCCATAGTCCACAAGGAACAGATGCCACCAGCAAGTCCCCTGCCTCCTATCCTCTCTCGGAATGGAACAGCAGAGGCCTGCCGCACCAACATCCAGTTGGACACTGATCAAGAAAACATGTCCAAAACACGCAGCTGTGAGTTGCCTCTCTTCTCAGTTACAGTAGGTGCCTTCGGGAAGCATTACATGTGTTAGAGAAATTTTTCTATAAAATCACAAGTCCGAAAGGGGCAGATTTGGGATTTTGGCACCCCCTCACTCCCAGGGTCTATTTCTTCCCCAATCTCTAGCCACTGGAAGTGGGTTCTTCGGTAACTTTCAACAGATGCCTCAGGTGGGCAATTTAGCACATGCTTATAGAGATTACACATAAAATTCTAGATTTCCAGCTCCTCTTGAAAAAAATGGGATGATCTGGCAACTCTGGGCCTGTTAGATATGCCCTTCAGTCAGCCAAAGTCACTGGCAGCCCCAATTGTCTCCTGACCCTGAGACAGCAGTTGTCATTTAGCATCACACACACCCTTAAAAAATATTGTGGCCATGAGCCCATGTCAGCCTAAAGTGGCACCACAAGGCCACACGTTTCAAGAAAAATGAGAGAGAATATTTTTTGGTGAGCATGAGGCATATTTTGGCATGTTGAATATTCAAAGAGGCCCCCTGATTTCTGTACACCACCTACCTGGCTCCATAGGTAGTTGGAAACTGAAAATGGTGAAAAGTCTAAAAATACCAGTTTTCTGGAATTAAGCAGCTTTCCAGAATGAAGGTATTAATACCTCCCAGAAAAGGCATGAAAAGTATTTATCACAGTGCATGAAACACACCAGGTTGGTCCCTTCCCTCCCCTCCCCTCCCCTCTCCTCCCCTCCCCTCCCCGCCCCTTCCCTCCCCTCCCCTCCCCGCCCCTTCCCTTTTCTCTTCTCTGGGAGACATGGCCCATCCTTATGACCTTTATTTGGGTTCTTTTTAGGTGATGTGACACACAAGCAGTCTAGAGTGGTGAGAGCCATCCTGTGGCTCTGTGGAATGGAGGGGAAGGATGAGGCGGAGCCTGCGAGCAGAGTGGACCTTGTCATCATGTCCTTGGAAGAAAACCCCACAGTGAAAGCCCTTCTGAACATCAACCTCATACTCTGCATCAGCTTTGCTGTTTTTCTCTGGGGCTACTTTGCATAGTGTGAGGTAAACACAGGTGTCCAAGCTCTCAGTTTGTTTTCAATGCACCATTTTTAAATGAAGAAAAAAATAAAGTTTTGTTTGTTTACCATGAGTCTTCAAGAGTGTTTATGGACTATTTCAAAATAATGTTTAGTTCTAAAAAGGGAATGAATGTTAGAGGCTGGAAACTGGAGAGGAGTAAAAGCTTCCTTATTTCCAAAAGCTAGTTATTCACTCTTCCAGTCCATTATGAAATAGCAACAGCCAAAGTCAAAGGAATAAAAAGCAAACACTCCCAAGACCCCCCAGCCTGACAGCAGCTGTGTCTCCTGAACTGAGTGCTTGGTACTTGAACTTTTCCCAGCTGACTTTCAAGGTGCAAGGGATGGGACCTGTATTCATCTCTTCCCTTCTAGTCTTGCTGGCTGGGGCCCATCCTGAGGATTTTCTCACTGTGATACTTACTTCTTGATATGACCTCTGGGAAATACACCTGAGTTGGTGCCCTAGAATCTGGTGCTATCAAAAAATTAGGGAATTGTGTGCGCTTCCCAGATTCTGCTTAGCCTGTGTTTCTCTGCCTAATTCCCCACAATGATGCTTCTCTAAAACAATCAGCCAGAGAGATGGACAAATCCACAGTGAATCTCTACCAGCTGAGGGGCAGTAGGGCTTTTTTGCTCTGTGCAGAGTCAACCATCCTAATTTCTCTACCCCAGGTTATGATGGGGACTAACAGGATGACCTGAAGGGGACTGTTTGCCACATGTGCCATGAAGAGCAAGGGCAGGCCAACAGAGTTAGCCCTGAGACCATCCCTGGGTAACCCAGAGCCATGAACTCTTGGTCTAGCCCTGGGAGAAAGGAGGCTAGAGGGGTGGATTGGAACCACATATTCCCCCGACAACTGAAGAATGGAGTAGTTGCTCAAGGAACCTTAATTTCTGTATTTTAAAGGAACACAGACAAGAAACCCAGGGGCCACTGGCTCACCTGGTCACTGTATGATAGCTTTAGTGTCTACTTGATTCCTTCAACATCCGGACCAGCCTGGTCCAGAGGTAAGTGTATTAGCTCAGGCCTTACCCAGAGGCCTAGCTTTACCACACTAATGTAAATGGGAGCTGTGGGTTGGGCAAGGGCACACACCTCAGCTCTCCTGGGAAAGGGACTATGTGGGGAGCTGTTCACGAATGTGGTTACTATCCAGACACCTATAATTGGCTTCTAGTGAGAGCCTGAGCTGGTGTCTGGGGCAAGTGGGCTCAAAGGGAGGCTGAGTGCCCCTCTTCAAGGACTAAAGGGAGGGGAGTGGGAGGCCCAAGAGGCTTCCCCAAATTGCCCCTCAGCAAGTCCTGGTGGCTACTCTGGACTGTCATGCCAAGCCCTCTGCTGCCACTGGTTGGGGTCAGAAGTGCATTTCAGTGGGAGTTGTCACTATAAATTCAGGCCACTGCCATTTCTCCCTGATCACACCCAGTCTCCTGACTGGCCTTCCTGCCTCTACCCATTCTGCAGCCCCAGGCAGAGTGAGTGAATCTGATGAATCCACTCCTTTACTTAGACTCTTTCAGTGACTTTCCCAAATTCACAGGATGAAGTCCACACTCCTTAATGGGAATTTCAAGACCCCTGAAGTCCAGGCCCTCATCAGTTTCAACTCTGATAACGTGCCACTTGTAGGCTAAGGTCATACCTCACTCAGGCCTCTCTACCTCCTCACCTAGCACAGTGGCAGGCATACAGTGGGCCCTGTTTAAATATCCAATTAAGTAGGGTTCTTTTTGCCTCTGATCTTCCCTTTGCCTAAACTATCCCTCCATCTTGTGGCTCCTAGTCTCTGCTTAAATATCACTTCCTCCAGGAAGCCTCCCGGATCACCCAACTGCCACCATGACATGTGCCTTCAAAGCCGGTGTCACACTTCGTTGGTTACTTAACTGTCTTCCCAACTGGAGTTCCTCAAGGGCAGAATGTCATGTACACTGATGCCTACCACAGTGCCTGGTGAATGAATGAATGGATGACCTTAAAACATCAATGTCATTTGGCTCCTTATCCATACTCACCTGTCACACCCCCTCCCTGGCATGGCTGCCCACCTCTGCCCAGGCCAAGAACACCCACTATTACTGCACTAAGTTAGTTCCTTGAGGGGTAAGCTTGTAGAGGTGGCCAAGTCCTCTTTCACCACCAGTCTCTAATCTGCCCGGTGACCAGCCCTCACCTTTGGGAAGGGCCCACAATCAATGACCAGACCATGCTGACTCCGCCACCATAGCTAGCAATGTGTTGACTGTAACCTAGGCCAGCATCTGCTCCTCTCTCAGGGTCCCCTGCTTCTAGATTGGCCCTGTCTGACTCCATATTCTACACTGCAGTCACAAGGACTGAAAGTACAAATCAGACTGTCACCCCTTTATCTCTCATGGCCCCTATTGCCTCTCACAACTTCCAGACACAGGGTATAAAGCCCTCCCCACTCCTGTTGCCCTGTACCTCACAGCTGCACTCCTCCAAATCAACTTCCATGCTGCCTCTAAGCACACAGCCACTGTGCCAGCTGTCCCTTCAAAGATGCTCACCCCACCCCATGCTGACCCACTGCTCCTCCCGCTCCACACCTCTCTACCTGCTTCCTGGGTGCTCTTTTGCAAGCTCCCGGGGGGGCCCAGGCCATGGTTGTATGGTTCAGATTGGTTCTCCAGGGTCTAGGCCTGTATATGAAAGAGTAAATCCTCAGTAATTACATGGAGAACACATAGCAATTATTTGTGAGACCTGGCTTCAAGTGTGAGTCCTTGTGTGAAAACAAAAATGCTGTTTCCATCATGAAATGGCATACAAATGTTTTTTGGGTTATTGAAATATAATTTATTGATGTGCACAAAAACTAAATTCAGAGAGCAAAAACAGAACCTTGATGAATTTTTTGTACTTCCAAAAACATATTTGGCTCAAATATACTCCCATGTGTCATTTGTGATGACATTTTAGTGTGTGTGTAATGGCTATACGGTAAGATGACCCTCAGTGCTCCCACTTCCTGGTGTTTGTGCCTTTATGTAATCCCCTCCTAGGACTGCAGCAGTGACTGGCTTCTAACCAATAGAATACTGTGGCAAATGTTGGTCTGTAGTTAATGATATTATTTCATGTAGGACTGTCCTGCTAGCAGACTCACTTGAGAGATGGTCCTTGATGGCTTACTGAAGTGGAAGTGCAGGGAGCCTCCAGATGATGACAAGCCAGCAGCCAGGGCCCTCAGAACTTGTGGGCCTACAGCCACAAGAACTTTTTTCTTTTTCTTTTTTAGGAGTTTATTTATTTATTTTTAGAGAGAGGGGAAGGGAGAGAGAGAGAGAAAGAGAGTAACATCGGTGTGTGGTTGCCTGTCACACTCCTCCTGCTGGGGACCTGGCCTGCAACCCAGGCACATGCCCTGACTGGGAATCAAACCACAATCCTTTGGTTCACAGGCCTGTGCTCAATCCACTGAGCCACATCAGCCAGGGCTCCACATGAGTTCTGACAACAACCTGAAGGAGCTTAGGAGTGGATCCTTCCCTAGTCAAATATCCGGATGGGCCCCAGTCCTGGTTGACACTTTGACCGCTGCCTAGAGAGGACTTGGGTAAGCCGTTCTGGGACCCCTTAACCACAGAAACTGTGAGATCATAAATGTGTGTTCTTTTAAGCTGCTAGGTTTGTGGGTGTGTGTCATGTAGCAGGAGATAACTGACACTGTGTATGGTTTGTGAACACCTGTGTGGATGGGAAGGTGGAGTCAGGTGGGGAAGAGTGTGGGAAGACACAAGTTTGCCCAAGGAGCTCCGCCATGTGTAGTGCCAGGAGACGAATGTGGCGGCCCACCAGCAAGGGCAGTCACATCTCTGTGGCATCTTGGAGATGCTCCCACCATGATGCCTTTCCAACTCCAAATGTACGACCAGCCCTCATGCTATGACCCACCCATCAAGATGGATGATAGCCTTGACTTGGTATTGACTTCTGACACACACACACACAGTGTCAAGTAATTTTTCTTTAAATTGGAGCTGTTGAGGTAGGGAGGTTGTAATAAACAATGGGACAGTGAGAAGTGAACAACATTCTTAAGATAATGAGGGTATGGCTAGTATTTCAGAATCAGCATTAACAAAACACATGCTGCATTCCAGGAAGATGTCCACCATGGACTTTCCTGGTTCCTAGGCACCAGGAACCACATTCCAGCTTCCTCCTGAGTGGGAGCTCAGGCATCATGGTAGAGGCATCTCTGAGGTGCTACAGGTGCCAGACCGTGGACATCTGGGCTCCCTGTAGGAGCTCAACACAGATGAGCAGTGTTGAGACCTTTGCTTTCTCTACAGGGTTTATTCTACAGCTAAAGGGATGCACAGAAAGATCGCATGTGGATGGTGTACGAGGAGGGAAAGAGTGAGCCTTAGGCAAATATAAAGCTATGGGATGAAATGGGCTTATAGGTCCATATTCTCAGTGTAACTAATGTAGAGAGTACTTCAAGGCACAGGGAACATTGAGTTAAAAACAAAAGAAATTGCCCTTTTCAAGTTAAACTTGCTGAGTTAATTCACAGTGGAAGGAGTTCCAGATCATAAGCCCAGCAAACAGTGGTGACATGCTCCTCTTTCTTCTAGAGAGAATATGATAAAATCCGGGCCAAAAGGAGGGCTACCACTGGAACAGCCATCCTGTCTGCTGACCTCACTTTACTCCAATTCCCCATCAGCTCTTCCCAAGTAGTTCAATCCTGCAAAAGAAGTGCCTTCCAGTCACTGGGAACTGGAACTCCTATGGAGAGTAATGGCTTTGACTTCTGCAAGAGGCCTGTGGGGCTGCAGGGCGGTCACAATAGTCTAAGTGTGTTTAGATGGACAGGAAAGGGGGACAGGACTTGTAAAAGCAAAGGGAGGGCCTTACCCTTGGAGCATTCACTGAGGGACAGCCGGTCAGGAGGTCTCTGGAGCACCTGTTGGCTGGTGACACTGCTATGACCTTGTTGTCTATTCTTTCAACCAGCTACGGTCACATTTCGACCCCCCGGGTGGCTCAGCCACAATTCTATTTGGTTAAGTGAATGTGCATGCACATACATACACACAACCAGTTTTTCCTCCAAGAATGATAAAGTTTTTATATAAACCACAGAATATATTTAATTCAAATTAAACATGAAACTAGAATAATGTTCGGTCCTTATCAAGTAGCAATTACATGGTTTTTAAAAAAAGAACAGTCCATGTCTTTCTACATTCTGACAATCCAACAAGGCACAAGTTACATCCAGTTTGCTGTGGTGACAGATCCAGCAGTCACCACAGATGCTCACAGCTGTGAGGGGTCAGGGAAACAGACTGCACTTCATACCAAATGACTCTGCAGCAGAATGAAGTCCAAGTAGCAGGAAGGAGACGAGTTGCATAACGAATGGGTTTTATTAAATAGAGAGTAACGCGTTGCTGTTATTCATTCCAAATTGCCGTCGGCGCGTGTGCAGGGACGGCAGTGACGGCAGTGACAAAGCTCCACAATTATACTTTCTCCACTCCAGGTTTCTGTTTCATTTTGTTTGGCGTGATTTCTTTCCTAGGCAAAGAAAACCAGTTTCTTGAGGACACAGATCATTCAGCTTTAAGTGTCAGCCTCCACTCTGTTGCTGGGCTGCGAGAAGGCAAAGTTCTGTGTGGTCAGGCTTCCTCCTTCCCTCCATTGAAAGCTGCTCACTGTTTGGTCTGCAGAGGTCAATGTCTGCCTGCCCCATTCCATTCACAAGGGTGGAAGGGGTCAGGGCTGTGGTGGCTTTCTTCAAAGGGCAGTACTTTCTGTATCATTGTCCATATCCAACAGAATGCGGCCAGGCAGTTCTTTGCTTGCTGAGTCTGGATGCATTTCAGGAAAGATACTGTGAAGTGGTTCTGACACTCTAGAATTGGTGTCTGGACAAAAACACAAGAGATGTGTTATCAATGCATGGTCATGTCCAAGAGGCCACCTCTTCCAAGGGTGCTCTGAGAGGAAGAGAAGCTGGAGAGATTGAGAGTCAGCCCATGCATACAAACATTACCTTACTAGAGGCACCGTTAGCCCTTAAAAGTTGAGTCAAGCCTTTAAGATCCCAGGAGCAGCCATGTGGCAGCCCCATCTCCTGACCCTGCTGGTCCCTTTTGTGAGCCTATGGCAGTCCTAAGATGCAACCTGTAAAGGACCCACTTCCTCTGATGGAAGAAAAGAAATCTCATTCTTACCAGTGCCGACCAACACACTAACTGAAACCTCCTGACAACCTGTGGGCTGCAGGAATAGGTGAGCTTCACTGGGAAGCATTCTCTCCTCTAAGGCTGATGAGTGTTCTTACTGTTAATGCTACACCCTCAACCTCAGCACTGGTGACATGCTGAGACGTATCACTTAGGTTTGTGGGGGCTGTGCTGTGCACTACGGGATATATAGCAGCATCTCTGCCCTCTATCCACTAGATGCCCATGGCACAAAGCCCTCTCCCTCTCACTGTGACAACTGAAGATGTCTCCAGATAGGGCTAAATGTTCCCTGGGGAACACAATTACCCTTGGTTGGCAATTGCTAAGATAGATGGTCAAATCTGCAAATAGTAATTTTCTCTTCTGCGTCTAAATCTTACATTTCCATTTTTTTCATGTCTTATGTTGGCTGGAACTCCTTTATCAAGGTGGCAAATACATGGTCCATACACCACTGTCCCTCACTCCCATGCTCACCAGACACTTTAACCAATCACAGCCCTCTTCCTAGTGAGGTGATGTGTCCCCATTCATTCATTTGTGCACAGATACTTACTGAACACCTGCCATGTTCCAGGCACAGTTCTACCTGAGGTCACGGCAGTGAGTAAGCCCGACACAGCTTTAATGAAGCCCATGGTCTGGCGGGCACCCTGATCAAGAGAGAGGATTTGTTTCTCCAGTAACTGTAGGTGCCGGCAAATGACAAGAGCCATGTTAGAGATTTAGGGACTAGGGCCAGCAGGAAGGGAGGTGTTCAGATCTGCTGTAGATTCACTTTGCTGGGTTAGGGCTAGTCATACAGGGAGCACGGAGAGAACTAGAGTGGGAGGTGGGTATGCTGTGGAGTTCCTCCTTTACACTCAAGAGTTGCTTTCTGTCCTTGCAGTGGTGCAGTTTCACCACGTCTGACCCTGCAGGGAGCTGCTTTGGGCAGTACTTCTGTCCCACATGCTCCTCACCCACACAGGCAGAGCTGGCAATGCAGGTACACTTCTGGGAAGCTTACTGCTTTGAGACTGGTTCCTGCCCCTTCCTAAAGTGTCCCTTTTCTCACATGGAGTCCTGAGTTGGCAGACCTGTCATTTGAGGTTTAAGTAAGTACCACACTCAGAGAAATTTCTAGATTTAGGAAGGTGGCAAGGTATCAAAGAGTTCAGGTGCTTAATGCCATTTCAGATGATACGGTCTGATGATAACTGTAAAACCAACTGGATTGTGTTGAATTGCACCATCCAAGGGTACAGTCAAGGGTGGTATAGTGCACAGAATAAAGGATGTCTTGAATTTGTCCTTAGCAGAAGGAAAGTCAATAGGGCAGAGACCATGTCTACCTCATTCACAGTGCCTAAAAGAGTGACCGGTTACTAGCAGATGCTCAATAAATTTTGTAGCTGGCTGGCTAGATGGATGAATGAGTGGATGGACAATGGAACAAATTAGTGGATGAAGAGTTATCCAGTCCAACCATCTTTCCAATCCTTTCCTTCCACAGAGGTAAAGAAGAAGCTATGTCTAAAAGGCAATACTGGTAAAAGAAATCCACTGCAAATTCAATCCCCTTTCCATAACCCAGTAAGACAAGGGACCATGACAGGGACATGCCTAGTGGGATGTGCAATGTAAGGGAAGTGTACACACTGCTTAGATTTCTATTTGTTAGTAACTATTTACATGCAAATTCAATACCTATCAGCCACAGCTGTCTTCAGAGGACAAGCATGCTCTTTTTTTTATATGACATATAAATTCTCAATTTGTACTTTTCTGAATGTCTCTAGCTATTTATGATGAGCACATATATACTCAAAAGTTCCTTTCCTCTCCTCCTGCAAGCTCTGTCTGGTTTACTTGAGATTGGCAGGTTATGTGCCTTTCCCCAAACCCTCTCTCTTCCCTGAATTATTTCTTAAAAGAAAACAAGTCTATTTCCACACAACAAGCAGTAAGAACTCCAGCAGGTGTGCAGAGCCGCCCTTCAGAAAGACCTCCAACACAGTAGCTGACGGCATCGGCGCTCTCTGTCAGGGATGGTGCTGAGTGAGCACACTGCCTCATCCTCACCGAACCCCCAGGCAGCACAGATGCCACCTCGCAATAAGGAAGGGGGACTCCTGAGGCTCAGTCCTCACTTGGGGTGACGAGGCCAGTGCTGGACAGAGCACCAGAGCCAGATTGGTTGGACTCTGGAGTTTGATCCTGATTAGCGTAACATGCTCCCTCCTCTCCAAAGGGGTCTGTATGTTCTTTGGTGACGATCTCGGGAGAGAAGACAGTATCTGAGGAGACACTGGGTTGAGTCTTAAACAGTCTGGTTCATTTTAGTAAAAAAGTTATTTTAGAAGATTTTTAAATACTTCTAAAATGTTCTGGCTATGAATTTACACAAGGCACCATTTTTCATACTGGCATTCCAAGGGAAGCTGGTCTTTGAGCACAGGCTCCTTGGAGCTGTGTTCATATGATACTCTACCAACAAAACAAAAACAAAAGGACAGAGAAAGAGAGAGAGCCCCAGGAAGAGCTGCTCGGGCAGCAGTGATGTGGTTCACCACCAACCTGGGGCTCGGACAAACATAACCTGCTCCTCCCTTTTCTATCTTAATCCAGCAAGTGGGTGCTCAGGGCTAGGACTGCCCTCTGTAATTTAGGGTGTGGTCCCGTCTATCACTTCATCTACAGTTATCTATCACTTTAACAATTTTCATTATGTGCTAAGGTTGTACACCCACCCTCCAAATCTCCAAGGCTATTCTGACAGCCACTTCAACAGTTATAGGACCTAAACACATTCATCCTCTTCCCTAAACTAGAGTGTGAGGGAATGACTCCTTTCTACTGTTCCTCAGTTTTCCAGGGCTCTGAAAGGCTTTCAGTCTATAACAGACTTTGAGTCAACCTTTTGTCATTTTAGTCAAAAGACAGCTTCTGTTCAAGTCTCACTGGATGTTTACTGTGACAGGACTTGTATCTATTTACAAAAATAAACTGCAAACAGAAGCCACTTAAATGTCCAACTATTAGCGAGAATACATATCTGCTTAACAAAATATTATGTGGTCACCAAAAAGATGGTTATAAAACTACATTATAACATGGGAAAGAGCATTTGATGTAAAGTAAAATAAAAATGTGAAGTCTGTATAGCCAAATAATTATCATCATGTACTCTCTTGCCTTTTAGGGAAAAACAACTAGCAGGAAAAAGAACAGAATATGAATACTGGACTTCTTCAATTATAGAAGGGTGATTTCTTATTATTCTAGTCCCCCAATTTACTTTAATAGCTATACTTATTTTTTAATGCACAACTTTCATCCTATAAAAAGAGCTTAATTTTAGCAAGAGAATACCCTGAGAGTCAGCAAAGTATCCAGTGTTGAATGACCACCTTGACAGAGACTGCTTGTACCACCACACAGTGGGCAAGTGACTCACAGTGATTCTCAGGCTCAGGAAGTTAAGAAATATCTTCTATTCCTGAGCTTTTTTTAAAAAAGGGTCTTATTTATTTATTTTTAGAGAGAGGGGAAGGAAAGGAGAGGGGAAGGAAAGCAAAAGGAAAGGGAGAGAAACATCAATCTCTTGCCTCGACAGGGGGCTGAACCTGCAACCCAAGCATATGCCCTGACTGGTAAGAGAACCTGTGACCTTGGTTTGCAACGCCAACCAACTGAGCCACACCAGTCAGGGCCTACGCCTCGTCTTTTGAATCTACCACCAAATGGTGCACTAGAATGAAACTGTGGACACCAGGGCTCCAGACTTCTTGTGTCTGGGTCCTAGCAGACTAGGTGGACATACAAGTTTTAAAATGTTGGCATATGACAAAACTCAGATTATCTATATTTTCTAGGTAAAAATAATAAATAGTTACCATCTACTTGGACCCACTGTGTATTAAGAACTGTCAGCTGCTTTTCCCACTTTATCTAACGCAATCCCTCTAACACTAATTCTCACGAACATCGGATCGCCCAGGCTGTACTCCACCTGACACTGCAGAGAGCTGAAATTTGAATTCAGGCGTGTTCAACTCAGTGTGCGCCCTCCCCATTGCACCTCTAGCCTGCCTCGTACAGAGAAAAATGGAAACCGAAAGAGTACCAATGCCACCCTGTGACCCCGTCAACACACCTGTGAGCACACTTATTATTCTGAAAATTAAAGCAAGCATGAACAAACAAAGCCAGCCTCCTTTAGTGCATGCACTGTTAGTAGGGATGCAAGCAGGTAGGTTAGAGTGACTGATTAGTATCAGGCATTAGTGCACAAATATGATCATCAAGTAGCAAAAGTGCTTTGGCCAATCAGGTGCCTTTTCCTTACCATTAAATATTCCATTTCAGTTTTGACTGATTAGGGCAGGTCATACATCTAAATTATTTAATAAAATGTTTAAATTAGAAAACTCTTTGCTAAAATCTATGACTTTAAAAACAGCAAGATGTGAACTACTTCCATTAGGAAGCTAACATCCTACTGCTTTTTAGAGTAACAGTAAAGACAAGGAGGAAGAGCCTCAAATGGCAGCAGAGTCGCCCCCTCCCAGGAGCTGCAGCCACACCTGATCGGCAACAACAGCCTCTCCCAAGAGCTTATCTTAATCCCCAGGCTTTAATTAAACTTTTTAAGAGTAAATGCCCCAAACAAACACTGGGTTTTCAGAAGTTTGTCTGTGTAAAGTTTTCCAAGTGAATCCCAGTGTCACAACAAAAGACCGCCTGTCAACGGAAGGCCCACTTTCCTCCTGGAACAGTGGCTACACCCAAGAACAGTGTGAAGCAGCATCGCCAATACTCATGGGCTCAAGAATTCTGAACACTGGCCTGTGTGCTTCGAATGGCAGTCCAGAGGACTTTAAGAAATTAAAAGTTAATTCTGTAATACAAAGCTAATTGTGGTGACCTAGAATTTCTTAAGTTTGGAGAATTCATAGAATGGATTGGTTTTAAAATATTTAGCTAATACCCTAAGGAAAAGTAGTTTTACTATAATTTTTCACTCATCTGATAATTGTAAAGTACAGAGCACTACAGTGTTAGAGAAGATCAATAAAATAATCTTCTGGAATAAATACATCTTAAGTAACAATGGTATTAAAGAAGAGACATAGTTCTGGTTCACAGTGCTTCATCTAAATAAAAGGAAAGGTCTGGGAAATAAATTTTGATGTGTCACAAAAACTGAAGTGTTACAGGCTCAGCCTTAATTAGGATTTAGACCCTTCATTCTTTGACTTCCACAGCTGGGCAACCCCCTCTCTTTTGGGCTCATCTCTAAAGAGTCAGGAAGGTGGAACCATATCTGTGCCCTCCTCCATGTCTTAGAGGTTGGGCTCCTGCTCTCCATAGAAAGTCTTACTCAGACCCAAGCTGTGAACACTCTGGCTAAGCAGCCCACTAAAGGCTTAATGATCAGATCAGCTGATAAGAGCCATTGTACCCATGAGAGTCTTATGCCACCCAAATGTGGACCAAAAGGCAAGATTCAGATGAGCCTCACAGCACCTTTTAAGAGCTCATGTGGTTTAAGAAAGCAAATGTAAGCATGCTAGAATGTAAAGGGATTTAGTGTGCAATCTTTGTATGAAGATTTTTTTTGTCCTGAAAATTTTAAACATCAAATTAAGAAGCTCCATGCAGTTAACTTGCCCTTAAAATTAAGTTTAATAAAGTTAAATATTAAAGCTCAAGACACAACGGACCCAATTTCCCATCCTGACCGCACCCAAGTCCTCCTTGGCTGGGTGTGAGGAGCCAATTGATAACAGGTAAATCATGCCAGCAAAGCAGACTGATTGTGAAAGGCTTACCAAAAGAAAGAAGACATTCTTAGTATCTTATCTGACCAGCTTGAAACTGGGCTGTCAATCTACTGACATATAGCTCTTGAATTTGGAGCACTGCAGCTCCAAGTGCTTCTGATCAAAACAAAAGTGACGTCTATGTGCTGCAGGACAAATGGCATAGGGGCAAATGGCTGCTCCTGAGCACAAGCTCAAAAGCACACACGCAAAACACAGCTAAGCAGGGGCACTGGGGCAAGCTGCTGGGCAGCTACAAACCTTAGTCCTGTTCACCTTCCCCACCTGTGGGGGCGCTAGGGAGGGCATCTATTGGGAAACAAACAAACAACAAACCACATGTGGCTTTGTTTCTCTAAAAAAAGCAGAGGTGTCATCAGAAAAAAGTTATGAACCACACTTACAGTACATGCAAATTACACATTATGTTCCTGAAAAAAATATTATCAAAAGACAGACTAATCAGCTAGCCCTCATCATTTGGGGCACCAGTTTGGGGTGCCCCTTGGTTCGTTTTCATCTGAGAAGTCACTCAGTACGGCAGCGGGGCCCAGAGATCTATTTCTGTTTCTTCTCTAACAACAGCCCCACTAAAACAAAACAACAAAATCAAAATTAAAAAATATAATAAATACAAATAGCTCCACTGAGAAAAATTTAAAATTCAGCTGTTGTAAAAAACAATTCAAAGCTTCTAATTACCATTTAAAAAACCCCACTTAGAGAAAAATCCATTCATCCTACTTAAATCAAATAGTGAATTAAAGCACTTTGAATGGAAATTTCATTTTAAAGTCATAATTAAATAAAAACAGTCATGCTCTAGATTGCCTATAAAAAATGTCCTGTCAGGTAGCCCACTAAAATATGTACAGTCACCAGCACACCAAACAGGTTTCCATGGAACTAGAATAAGAAAAACCTCGACTTGCCTACTCTCATGTGGTCCAGAGATCTCCCCTCCCTGAGCATTCAATTTGGCACAAAATGTGGTTGTTTTTAAGTTATACCTGAAATGCTTCATTTACTACAAACATTTTTATTCGTAGAAGGAAAATGGGCATTTTAATGAGGAATTCACTAAAAAATAAATTTCATGCTCAAATACCTTCTTAGACAAATATATTGGGTTGGCCAAAAAGTCCCTTTGGTTTCCCCATAAGCTGGCTCTAGTAGCGCTTAGTGGACTTTAACTTCCTTTGAAAAAAGTCTGCTAGATTGTATTGTGACAGCTGTCATATCGGCAAGCATTTCTTAAAAAAAAAAAAAAAGTATTAAAACTGGTGAATTTTGTGTAGCCATTTTAATATCGAAGATAGAGGAATATAGGCAACATCGGTGGCATATTATGCTTTATTATTTCAAGAAAGGTAAAAGTGCAATGAAACACAAAAAAAGATTTGTGCAGTGTATGGAGAAGGTGCTGTGACTGATCAACATGTCAAAAGTGGTTTGCAAAGTTTTGTGCTGGAGATTTCTTGCTAGATGATACTCTAAGGTCAGGCAGACCAGCTGAAGTTGGCAGTAATCAAATCGAGACATTAATTGATAACCATTAACATTATACGACACAGGAGAGGGCTGACATACTCAAAATCCCCAAATCAAGTGTTGAAAAAAATCTGTACTAGCCTGGTTATGTTAATCACTTTGATGTCTGGGCTCCACATAAGTTTAAGAGAAATAAACCTTCCTGACAGTATTTCCAAATGTGATTCTCTACTTAAGCATAACAAAAACGTTGCATTTTTAAAACCAATTGTGATGGGCAATGAAAAGTGGATACTTTGCAATAATGTGGAAAGCAAGAGATCATGGGGCAAACCAAATGAACTAACACCAACCACACCAAAGTTTGGTCTTCATCCAAAGAAAGTGATGTGTACATAGTGGGATGGGAAGGGAGTCCTGTATTGTGCTCCCAGTTAGACCAACTGAAAGCAGCACTCCACAAAAAGCACACGGAAGCAGTCAACAGAAAACCCATATTCTCCCGTCAGGAGAACACAAGACTGCATGTTTCTTTGAGAACCAGGCAAAAACTCTTACAGGACTCTGAGAGGTCCTGATTCATCTGCTGTATTCACCTGACATTATACGTTCGGGTTTCCAAAATTTGCTTAAGAGAAAAAAATTTCATTCCCTGAAAAACAACAAAAGGTACCTAGAACACTTCTTTGCTCAAAAAGATAAAAAGTTTTGGGAAGATGCAATTATGAAGTTGCCTGAAAGATGGAGGAAGGTAGTGGAACAAAACGGTGAATATGTTGTTCAGTGAAGTTATTAGTGAAAACGAATAATGTGTCCTTTGTTTTTACTTAAAAACCGAAGAAACTTTTTGGCCAACCCCATTCATGTAGTGGGATCCTGGACATACAATAAAATTATAAATCTTGAGTCACCAGTTTTAAAGACCTCTAGTGCGTTTGAAGGTTTGTGCCAACCATGTGACCTCACAATTGAGCTCCTTCAGCACAAAAGCAGCCTGAGACAGCAGACCCAGCTGCAGATCACAGCGTAAACGGAGGGGGTGGTACAGAAGCCCAGCACAGAGGTCCTACTCACCAGTTACTATTTTGGAGGCAGTGGGCACTGCACTGGAGAGGCTGCCATCCCCCACTGGGTGGGCACCAGGAGGGTGAGGGGGTGGGGGCACGTTGGGTCGGTTCCTGGGCTTTGGTACTGGTCTCGGTCGGGGTAAGGTCCCAGCATGTGGCTGTGCAGTCTCAGGGTGGCCCACCGTGGGGGGCAGAGATGCCGGCAGACCCAGGCTCTGCTTTGATAAGGGCGGAGTGCTGGGGGGAGTGGGCGTCCTGGGCGGGGTGTGCGAGGACTGCTCCAGTGCCTGCTCAGCAGGCAGACCCTGGCCACCTGGCCTGGCATGGGCCTGTGGGGCCTGCGTGGGGGGCTGCGGTGGGGGGTGACTGGGCGCATGCATAGGAGCCAGGCTGCCTGAGGATCTGCGGGGCGCACACTGCTGCGAGGTGGCTGATGGCTGCCCGTGGGCTGGGCCTGTGTGCTGGCTGGGAGGAGACGGACTTCCAGTGGCCGGCTTCGGTGACAAGCTGGGTGCCTGCTGCGCTGTCCCTGAGGAACTCTGGCTCCCCGGATGGCCGGGAGGTGGGTTTCCTGGTTTCGGAGGTGCTGGAGCAGGTTTCTTGACAGCTGCATAAAGGGGAAACACCTTTCAGAAGGGACAACACAGTGACAGCGAACACCTGCTGAACTGGGGAGCAATGGTGACCCCACCGCTCAGGCCCTGCTGATGATATGACTCCTGACAGGATGTGATCAGGGGGCACTTTACCTCTGTGGTCTTCTTCCCAAAACCCAGAGTCCCAGTCTCAACTGTGAGAAAAACATCTGAGAAATGTAAATTGAGAGTTTTTCTTCAAAATGCGTCACTGGTACTACCCCAAATAGCCAAAGGCATGAAAAATCAAGGGAAAACCAAGAACTGTCACAGACCAGAGAAGGATGACTAAATACAATGTGGCCCCCTGGCTGGGAGCAAGCCTAGTAACAGGAAAGGCCATCAGTGGAAAAACTGGGGACACTGGAGCAAAATATGGACTTTAGTTAATAGCAACATACCAGTTGGTTTCTAGCTGTGATAAATAATGTAAGATGTTAACAAGGCATTCTGGAACGGGGCTCTTACCCCATCTTTGCAACTTTTCCGTAAAACTAGAATTATTCCAAAATACAGTTTATTTTTAAGAAGTACATGATACATTTATAGGTCTTTAAAGACCTGTCATTTTACAAGTTCAACAAGAACACTCAGTGGCCACCCTGCCCACACGAAGTCACTGCTCTAAGCCACTGAAGCGCCCACTTGTCAGTGCCCTGCTCACACGGCCTGAGAGCATGGGAAGGAACCAAGCAAGAAGAGCTAGGGAGCAACCTCCAAGCACAACTGGTCTGCTGTACACACCATAGACACTTGCTCTAGGCCCTCTTCTCTGAGAGAACTTGATTTTTTTAATAATGGAAATTCTACCAATTCCAGAATCATTTGAGCTACAAGATAATTCTAGGTACAAGTAAAATAAACCTGGCAGATGATCTCAGAATTACTTCTCTAGGGAGAGCTGAATCACATGCCTCCCTTCCCGACACCAGTTGAGATCAGCACCACTACTGGGTGGGAATTTGGTACCAAGGAGGATGGGATGGAAAATGTGGGTATGGAATCCCGGTTTGGGGCTGGGAGGGGTGGTGGAAAGGAGAGACCAGCATTTTTCAAATTCTGCTGAGATTCTACCAATCTTCCCCAAAGGGAGAGGGAACACAGGAAAGAAATGACCATGTATTGTTCACCTAACACACCAACAGCACCAAGACAGGCCCTTTGCATAAACTCTCACCTAATCTCACAAACTCACTGCAAGGCAGGCACTGATGTATCCACTTCACAGTGGAGAAAACTAAGGCTCAGAGAGGCCAAGTGTTGTGAGAGGTTACACAGCTAGTAAGTGGCAGGACAGAGGCCCACACCTGTGGGTTTGGACTCTATTCCTCTTCCTCATTTCTACAGTGCCTGGCTTGCTGCTCATAGGGCCCAAATTCAGGGATGAAAGGGGATAATGTTTGCTCTGCTCTGCTGGCCTAAAACTTTTGACCCAAGGAACTTGGAAGACCTTTACCCACAGAACCAACCAACCAGCTGACGAAGGAATCTGTAATATTAGCTGTACTGTGTTTATCATAAGCAACTAAAAAATGAAAATTTCTCGTTTTCTGTTCTAAGCAATACTAACTGTAAGTTCAGGCTGAGTAAGATCATTCCTGACAGCTAAGGGTGCAAGAGGGAATTCAGAGAGCATGAGAGTGGTATAACAAGGTGATGGGCCCTAGTCCCACATGGAGGCCAGGCTGGGAGAAAGACAGGCCTTATCCAAGACCCCCTAGAAGCTGGCAGACTGGAGCAGGGGAAGAACAGAAAGGATCAAACTTCCTTTGAGGAAGCTTGAGATCTGAGATTGCAGGAAGTAGGAAGCAGGAAAGATCCCTAATGTGGCTCAGAAGTCTAGCCTCAATCTGTAAGCAGGGTTATACCTGGAATCCAGGTAGAGAAGACAATTCTCCTCAAGCATCACTTGGGATACAATGGAAACAATGTAGAGAAAACAATGAGAACAATGTATCCAGAGAGGACAGCCTTGCTGAGAGCAGGGTGGGTCTGTTACCAAGCAGTGTACCTGAGTCTGTCTCCCTGTCTGAATCTATAAAAACACACCTAACATTGTGTAGTGCTTTATGAAGACACTGCTTTTATACAGACTCATCATATTTAATCCCCACCATATTCCCCTTAAGATGACATTTTACTTCTACTTTACATTTGTAGGAATTAAATTAGGAAAGATTGAATTAGCAGCCTTTTCCAGCCACATGACTTTATACAAAGGCTAGAACTCAAATTTTGAGTCTAAGGCCTTTTCCCATTGATCAGGATTGCCTACCATTACGACCAGCATCAACCAATCCATGGGAGACCGTCCAACTATCCTGAATTGGTCCCTTCCAGTCGCCGGAACCATACCTTGAGGTGGGGCCTCATCACTCTGTGGCCTTCACTGTAATAGTGTGGCTTGCACTATGGCCAAGTCAACCTTTTGAAAACGCTGTTGTGGTACCCACTCCACTCTAGTTAAGACTCCCCATTACTCAGTGGTCCTGCACCTACCTGACTGCTGATCTAAGGCCTTGCCTCTGGAGTAAGAAACATGACTTCCCTGTATATGGCTCAAGTTCAATGATAGGCATTTATCCATAATATCTTGAAATAACCATCTCAAAGAGATATTAGCATTCCTATGTTCACTGCAGCACTAATCGTAATAGCTAAGTTGTGGGAACAACCTATGTGCCCATCCATGGATGACTGGATAAAGGAAAAGTGGCATTTACATGCAATGGACTATTATTTAGCTTTAAAAAGAAGGAAATTATGCAATATATGACAACATGGATGAATCTTAAGGACCCTTAAGTGAAATAAGCCACTCACAGAAGGACAGCTACTATAAGATTCTGCTTATATAATAAATTTAAAATAGTCAAATTCACAGAGTTGGAGAGTGGAATGGTAGTTGCCAGGGCCTCAGTGGAGAGAGTGCTGGGAAGTTACTATCAACAGGCATAAAGTGTCAATTATGAGAGAAAAGTCCTGGAAATCAGCTGTAGAAGGTTATGCCTATAATACTGTACTGCACACTTAAAATTGTAAGAGTAGATCTCATGTTAAATGCTCTTATCACAACATTTTAAAAAAAGAAAGAAAAGAAAGAAACCAGATGAAGATATGGGTCAGAAGGTTCTGGAAGTGAAAACGAGTATGGAAGCTCTAAAGAGGGAACAAGCTTAGAGGCTCCAAAAGCAGAGAGCAGACCCATGTTGCTGCAGTGCAGAGAGGATGGAGAGGAGTGACCTGGGCCCCCAGCAGGTCCCAACCAGACTATGTAGGGCATGGAAGCCACTGGGGAGTCTCAACCAAGAGCTGACATGATCTGCTTTGTATTTTAAAGCAATTCCCTGGATGCTGCAGGGAGGACCACAGGGGACAGAGATGGTCCTCCCCTGAAGCAAGTTCAGATGTTATGTTATTAGGGCCCGCCAGTCCTGGGCTACAGGACTTGCAGAGGCTACAGTGGTTCACAGACCCACACAGCTTGGCCAGTACAGAGGCCGTAGCAGTTCCAATGCACATCATATACCAAGGCACATCATAATGACATTACCCAAGGTTAAGGAAAAGGAGAGAATCTTAAAAGCAGCACAAGAAAAGGAGACAGTTACCAACAAAGGAATTCCCATCAGACTGTCAGCTGATTTCTCAAAAGAGACCTTGCAGGCAAGAAGGGGTTGGAAAGAAGTATTCCAAGTCATGAAAGGCAAGGATCTACATCCAAGACTGCTCTATCCAGCAAAGCTATCATTTAGAATGGAAGGGCACATAAGGTCAAGTTCAAGGAGTTCATCATCGCCAAGCCCTTATTATATGAAATGTTAAAAGGACTTATCTAAGAAAAAGATAAAAAATACAAACAGTAAAATGACAATAAACTCACAATGATCAACAACTGAACCTAAAAAAAAACAACCCAAAACAAACTAAGCGAACAACTAGAACAGGAACAGAATCACAGAAGTGGAGATCACGTGGAAGGTGGGGGAGGGGGAGAATGGGGAAAAGGTACAGGGAATAAGAAGCATAATTGGTAGGTGCAAAATAGACAGGGGGAGGCTAAGAATAGTATGGGAAATGGAGAAGCCAAATAACTTATATGCATGACTCATGGACATGAACTAAGGGGAGGGGGGATACGGGTGGGAGGAGAATGCAGGGTGGAGGGGAATAAAGGGGAGAAAGAAAATAGGATAACTACAATAGTGTAATCAATAAAATATATTATAAAGAAACAAATGACTTTTTGTTAAGCTTTGTAGCTGCGATATATTCTTAAATGAATACTTTCCTGCTCTCAATGTTTCGTCTCCCTTTAATGATTTTTCTGGTTGATGACTTTTCTGCTTCTCATTTTTAAACAGACATAGGAATGACCTGTTAGAAAGTCTGGCAACCCTCTCTGCTCTCACCTACGGTGTTGTGCACACCCCCGGCAAGGACACAGAGGAAAGGTGGCTACTTACCTCGGCGCAACGTATGAGGGCTAGAGCCAGTGGACCCGTGTGGTGCTGGGCTGACAGAGAGCTGATGGGAGCTGGCAACCATCTGCCCCTGGCTTTGGCCAGTGGCTACCTGACTGCTATTTCTCCCCGGAGCAGGTGTGGGCACAGCTGCAACTGCAGAGTCCTTGACTTTGGGAGGACTGAGTGGAGTAAAAATCCAGTTAGATGGTAGACATGCCTAGCCAGAAAAGCTAAGCACACTAAAACATACAGGATTCCCACCAGAGTTTTCACCTCAGCAGGCAAGGAAGTGATCTGAAACTTTAAATGGTTTACAGTAAGCCTAGAAAGCTAAGATTTTTGTTTGTTTGTTTCACACAGGACTACCTATTTTATGAGACTCATTGCATCAGACTGTCTTCAAATTACTGTGCCACTCAAATATCATGATAGAGACCATATCACAGCAACCACAAGAAATTATAAGTTCTGGTTTGCTTGTACTTAAATTGGGCAATATTAAAAAACCGTGAAAGGGCTCCTGTACTTCAAAATAGGGTGATTTTGACATACACATTATACAAAACAAAGCAGAAGCTATAGCAAAATACAAGGATATCAGTTATAAAATGCTCAGTTATTGTCAATAATGTGAACTGAGGAAAGAGAAACTCTGAAAAGCCAAGTGACTGATCGAAGTTCAGCGCTGGGGAGTAGCGGGCAGAAATCAGAACTTGGTTCTCTGTGTCCTGGCCCAGAGCTTTTTTTAATATTGAACTTATCATTTTTGTCAAGATTGTCAAAGAGTGAACACCATTAGTGAAATGCACACAAAAAAATCTCTAAAATATAAAAATCAAAGAGCACATTAATGACTGAAATTCTACCTGTCCTGTAGTGAGGACTCATTATTATCTTAAGTAAAATATTTAACCTTGATTAAACCAATGGAATGCCACGCTAAATGAAAATGTGTGAATTCACTAATGCTTTTTTTCTCAAACAAAAATAACCGAACCAAAGCAAATACATGTAAGGAGTGGCAATCACTGACAAGCACACATGGAACCTATGATGTGCAATATGAAGCCCAGGAAGTTGGAAGATACTTATTTTTAACCAAAAAGTGAACTCCCCCTAATTATGTAAGCAGAAAGGAATTCAAGAATTCTCGAGTTTCTTATCTCTTAAGCAGCACCACACATAACAAGGCACTGTTCCCCTCCCGAAGATGATAAGGTGAGAGAGTTCTCCCAAGGCAAATTCATTTTGTGTGGGGGAAAAAAAATCCCCTGTGGATCAACAGGCTATTCTTGTTTTACATATTCATTTTCCCTGACATAGGATCATTTGGTGCTTTACAGGTGGACAAAGTATAGCGGATAATGACAGGTTAGCACTTTGCTCATCTTTTATAGCTGCTGCCTACTCTGAACCACCTGAGTGGACTCTGGTGGTCATTTGCCCAGGTCAGAGTGAAGAACTAAATTCAGGCAAATTAAAATAAACATTCAAGTTCAAAGGTACTCTTTCTTGAAGTTTTTTTTGAAGTCTACATTTGTAGTCTATTCCAGGTGACTAAGCAAAAGGTTAAGCAACAGAAAAGGCTTTTAAGAAAATTTATTATCATATTATATACCTTATATATCAACTCCCTATAAGATTGAAAGCCAGGCAGTTGGGGGGACCTTTGTCACCCAGCATCCCTGACATAGTGCCTGGTACATACCACTCAGTACCCACTTATGCAGTAAATCTGGGTGGGTGGGTGGGTGGGTGGATAGACAGATGGTGAATGAATGAATGCCAGGTACATTATAACCTAACTAACTTGCTACATTAAAATGCTTACTAGTTAGCATATTAGATGACAATAAGCAAATGATACACAAACACTAAGTATACTTCAAAGAGGTGAAAGAAATTTATAATATTGCTAGACACCTATGGCTTCCAGCTCTCAGCACCAAAGCAGTATGATAAAGAATGCAAACAAATATGCATTCTTTTCTTTTGAAAACAGGAAAGGAAGCAAGCAATTTACAGTGTTTTTTTCCATCCTTTGTCCACCAGAGGAGTGAAGGCAAAATTGGTTCGCTACATGCTGGGTGATTCTCGGGGCAAGACTCTGCGCCTGCAGGCCAGTACCTGCAAGAAGGCAAGGGTGCCCAGCACCCACTGCCAGCAGAAGCCAGCCTCCTTACCTGCTGTCGCCAGGGCTCAGCCCCTGCTCCAGTATGCCCACAGAGGAGGGGACAGGCCCACCCTCTGCGCTGCTTTCAGCCCTAGAGCTCTGGGAAAGGGGCTCTGGGCCTGCTGGAGCCAGGGTGCTGCCATCTGTGGGCGGGAGTGGCGGCTGGAAAGCAGGGGATATGTGCTTTCTATTTAGGGTACCACCCCGCCGGTAGGCCTGGAAGTCCATAAGCTTCACACCAAAGCTACACAGAGAGAAGAAACAGTCAACACACCATGCAAGCTGACGACCGACACAGAAGCCCACCAGTCTGAGCATGTTAAAACCCACATGGTACAGCCACCCAAGTTGCCCAGCATGCAGTGAAGCGGCAAGGCCCACAGGGATGGTCATCCCCATCACCAGGGCAGTAACTTGGCTTTACCCCTGAGAGAGCCAACGGGCCTGGTACTGACCAGGTAGTCTCCTCAATCTGGCTGAGAGCAGCTAAAGGCACGTAGGCAGGCCTCATTGTGCCAGACATCACATGAGCCTGCATAGGTCCATCTTACTATATAAGCCCATTGTCTCAAATCTGTGTTTAGGGTGCAAGGTGAAAGCTGAGTGCAGAATCCCACCAGAAGCAATGAAAGGTCTCACACCACACTGTCTCCAGCCATGATGCAGAGACAAGGGGTATGCTATGCAAAGAATACATCTGACCGCATAAGCCTGGGGAAAAGTTGCTCTGGAGCAGAATATGTGATTGGAGAACAGGTCAGGAGAAAGACTCACTTTTCACTTAAGCTCACTGGTATATAAACTTTAAAACTTTTTTTCACTTCAAAAAATACAAGAATGTATGGCTCCCTGAGCTTGTGTTTCTGGCAGGGATAATCTCCCTTAGGTAGATGACTGGGAACTGCTTATCGTGTGCTAACTGGAACACTAACACCGCATGTTTGCAACTTACAATATAGGAAGGCAGGTTTTGCTGTGGGCACTTTTGTCTTCATGAAGTGTGTAAATGGAAAACTTCTGCACATAATAAATATGTACTTCAGAGAGAGAAAATAGAAAAGTAAAGCATTTTCCCTTGCAATGGGTAAAAAAAAAAGCAGAAAAAACAAATCTCACTGTAAGATTGGGAAACTAAAATAAGGCCTTGTTTAATTTTAATGTAAAACTACTTTGAGTGATATTACCACATGTATGCAAAACAAAGCACGTCAATGAAAGGGCGTCTCTAACCCTGAGCACTGCTGGTAAGCACAGTGGCCCTGCATCACACATACCAGACAGGCTGGGATCTGACAAAAAAGTCACAATAGCCTTGACAACCTTTGAGGACCCTACAAATTCCCCATGGAGCCTCGTAGAGAGACATGCTGTTCCATGCTAAGTTCAACATAGATATTTTTCTCTTTCAGAACTAGCACGTACTGAGGCTTCCCAGCTGCACATCAGATTCAGTGGTTGGTTCCACTGAGGGGCCAATTATACCAAAACTGTGCCTCTTTAAACACTAATCACACAACTCACCATGAGAGGTAGTTTGTTGCCATGTTCACTCTTGGAAATAAGTGCATAATATTTAACTTTTTTCTTAATCTCCCCCCTAGTCCAGTACGTTTAGGTGAATCTGTAACAAGTGTTAAGAGGCCAGTCCAAAGCGGGATGTACGCCAGACCAGCAAAGAAAGCACGAATGCATGTGAGACAAATGTTACCTGAGAAGCCGCATACCTACTTTACGGTCACAGTAATGTCTGCAGTGAACTAGAGCAGAATTCCCGAAACTGTCTAAACTCTGACGGTCCTGGTCCATAGTGGGCTACTCTCCCATGACCAGACCACAGAGGCCACACCAGACACTGAGGGCTTGACAATGCCCATCTGAAAGTGATCAGCTCTAAACACACCTCTCCTTCTTGACCAAGTCCCCTTCCATCACTGCCATGCTGGCAGGTCGCTTCCTCTCCAGCGTCCCCGAGTCACAGTCATTTCCAGTGTGGGATGAATGATTGGAATTTGGGGGAGCAAGAGGTACGAATGCTTCTGATACATTAAATTCCACCTCTGCAAGAAGAAAAAGGAACAAGTAAATATGAGACAGAGTGCAGGGGTTAAGAGAGTTTTAAGACACCCCACTGAAATAGGAGCTTCATTCTTCAGTCCATAAGCCCTCCCTACTGCATAGGCAGAATCCCCAGGCACTCTTATTTTCTTAAGAATGGCTTATGATACCAGGGTGAGGCAAGACGGAACTACGGCAGGGGAAAGGGCATGATTCAAAACATGTTACACAGCTCCTGTTGTCTTTTTTGTAAACAAACACACGCAAATACAAAAAAGGACAAGGAGTGTGGATTATTTATTGGAATCATAAAAATGCTATTTTATTTAGTTTGATATAAAATAGGAATAAAATGCAACATTAATTCCATACTGCCTATAGCAGTTTTTGCATGAGTCTTTTTCTTAAAGGAAATCTTTGGCAGAATGTCAATATTCATTCATTCACCATCACATCCTGAGGAAGACTGGTGAAGAAAAGACCCATGTGGTCCTGGCATCGTGTGACTTTCCATGGCAGGGGATGTGACAGCAGGGCTGCTCTGGGCAATGCAGGACGGGAGGTCCAGATTTGGCCCAACCAATACCCTCAAAGGGGGACATGGAACCCCTAAGGAGCCCAGGACTACAACAGGTATAGTTTGAAAATTTAGTACCTGTAGGATGAAATCCTAATTCTCCGACAACCTGTTCAGACCTTCACAAATAGGCCCCAATCAACCTTTCCTGCTTTATCTACACCTTTGCACAAATCCAACCACCTGCCTGGAGAAACAAAAAGCCTGCTTCCGAGAAGAACCTCCTGCCTATTTAATGTCACCTCTTCTACAAAGCAACCCCTGGCTTCCTTCCCAACATCTGAGTTTGTCAAATCCTAGTTCATCCAACTATCCTCCTAATTTGCCATGTATTACAATTTCTCTGTTAATGTGGCCTCTTCTCCAGTGGCCCAAGTTCCTCCAGGGAGACGGCAAACATACAGCACCTAGTGGGCATCCACTGTACGCTGAAAATGAATGATTCTCATGTTAAGTGAAACAAAATGAAATACAAAATAATGTGGTTACTATTATGTCGAGATACAAATACAAATCAACAGCCTGGAAAGAAATGTGAAAAAGTGACACCGATTATGCAATCATGAAGTGATTACTGATGCATTTTTCTCATTTAAAAAGAGTTTTTACAACTGTTACACTATTGTGTTGCTTTGGCAGCCAGTGGAGTCACAAAGCTAATTACCTTCAGGGAAGAACCAGTCGGCGTGCTGAATGATGGGTTCGATTACCGCAACCACGTGCACAGAGGTGGCGGCTGCCATCTCAGCCAGCGTCCTGCAAAGGAAGTCCACAGAGCTCACATGCTTCCCCTGGGCAGCCTCTGATTTCTGTTGGTTGACTCAGGGCCATTCAATTACTTTTAAAGAATAAAATGTTTGAGAATAATGCAGAAATTAAATCCACAAGGCTCTGACCTATGTACATGTGGGATCACCCAGGAAGAAAATTGACCTCTCTGGGCTGTTGCTCCGTAGTCTGCAGTGTTTGGGAGCCCTGTGGACCACTGTGCATCCCATGCTGGTTTCACATTGGCTTGGGATAGGGACGCCTTCCCACTGGGACAGTATAACCCACGGCAGCCACTGTGAGACCCAGCATCAGCATGAACTAAACCGGCCGATGACACAGCCAAGAGCATGACTGTCTCAGTGTCCTTTTAACGTCACAAACCCTGCATTTACACATATGAAGGCTGTCGTGCAGTACATGAACTGGTCCCCAAGATGCGTGTTCAGAAGCTGAAAGTGTCTGAACAACAGGGCTCAAAAGGAAAACTATAAATGAGAATCATTATCTCTGCTTGTCGAGCTCATATTCCAGTTTGGGATCAGGACACCACGAAAGCAAACAAGGTGCAAAGCCTCAACATTCACTGAGCGCCTACTGTGTATCAGTGCTTCAGGTTCTTTATCTCATTTAACTCAATTTTTTCAACACGGGGACTGTTATGTTGTATTGTATCTGGTACCTTATTTTATCACAGAAGATGCTATACTCCCAAAAAGCTGGGTCCCAGGTCTGACTGCCCCAAACCTACCTACCTCCTATTACCACTCTGAACTTTCTTCCCCCAGGCAAGGAGAGCATTTTCACCCCAATTTCCAACCAAGACATAGTTCTAGCTCCCTTCAAATTCCAACTTAAAAGGTAGGCTCTGCCTGAAAATCCTCCTCCCTACCCACCCCTTTCTTACACCCCCTCCTCCCGTCTGGATCCGAGTTACTCTCCAGCTTTAGGGTCCCACTGGACTAGGGAGGAACCGTCCACTCACATTCTTTTTGAGAAGGTACTGTTTGTCTATTGATTCACAAGACCTCTTACACATCCTGGACACTTCTGGAGGAACTCCTTTCTAGTTTGTAAACTGTCATTACTTTAAGGAGCTTTCTGACATACAGAAGTTTCTAGCTGTAACCAGAGCCAAATCTATAGATTTTTATGTTGTTTCTTGCATTGTTTTGGTTTGGAAAATTCTCCTCTATCTTAAAAACTACTAAGTACTTACCTTTATGGCATCACTTTTTATATTTAACTCCTTGGCATACAGGGAATTTACTTGCTATAAGATACTATTTATGTAGTTAACTTTGTATATCTACTCATCTTTCACTTTGCTTTATGATGTTAGATCTTTGTACATAATAATCTGATAAATACTTTCTGAAACAAGACTGGGCACACATGAGTATGAATAAATAAAAGGTAAAAAGAAAGACTTCGATTCAGAACGTCACTGACTTTTTAATGCAGACCTGAACCACTGCAGTTTTGTGAAGCTGGCCAGCGGTGGTGAGAGCCAGGACGGGGTGGTAAGGCTCCGGGACACAGACCGCAGCCAGCACCCGGGCTCTACCACTTCTCTGCTGTACAACCTTACCCAACCACTTGTCCTCTCTAAGTGTCAGGCTCCTCGTTTGTAAAGAGGAGGACAGTAGAATTCCCTTCAAAAGGTTATTTGCGAGGATTAAATGAGGTCATCTTAATGCCACCCTCAAAGTAAACATGAATGTTAGTGATCTCCCAACTTTCTAACTGATCTCCCCTATTCAATCTATGCTTCTCAATGCCAACAAAATTAGCCTTTTAAATGCAATTTGATTAAGTCACTCTTGTGCTTAGATATCTTAATGGTCACCCTCTCTCCAAGACCCATAAAATAAGTTTCAAATACTTTGGCAAGATACACAAGGCCCTTCATAACCTGGCTCTGGCTTCATTAACTCCAGTTACCACCTCATGTCCCCTGTGCTCAAGTTATACAAAATTAGCACTGGATACCTACATGCCTGCAACGCCTTTGCTCTTTCAGATCCCACTTGTAGGGAGCTATTTACCACAGTACAACTCAAGTGCTATTTCCAGTGCAGAGACCTCCATGAACTTCTCAGCCTAAACTGTGTCCCCTCAACAAATACCAGTGCTATCACACTTTTAATGTCTATAGTATCTACACACAGCTGTGTGGGCAGAACTGATCCCAACAACCCCTCATCTGCCCAGCTGCCCAAGACTGGGGCCCTCTGAGGACTGGGCCAGTGTCTCCCACATCATTCTGTGGCTAGATGTGGGACAGATCACACAGGCTTCTTAGAATATCAGCTACATGGAAAGATCAACTTCAGAACTTGCCTAAGTGCACCTTACACTAAAATGTGTATCTTGAGTGATACAGTTCTACTCTCCCCATTAAGTGGAAAGAAGAAATAAAGATAACACGATATGGGGAAAGATTACTTACCCTTCATTTTTGGCCCATAACAGGTTAGGGCCTAATACAATGGCAATGTTGCTGGGAGTCATCTTATTAATGTCGCTGGTCTGTGCAAGCTTTGCAAGGAATTTAATTAAATACCTATGGAACAAAAGAGAAACAGAAAAGCACCTACTCTGAAATAGTTGCAGAAATATTATCTTCCTCATTAGGTTCCCAGGCCCAGAATGCCCAGGGTGTGACTAACTCAGTATGCAGCCCAAGTTAAACATTTTACAAATTCCATGTGCTCTTTGTTTCAGAGAACAGACAACTTCAGGGCTTGGAATGCCTCAAAGGTCTCCCTCAATGATTCAGCCTCTGTTTGCTGTGTATTTCTAACCTATTTCTCCTTTATGCCCTTCTCTCCTAAATAAATTACAAAGTGATTAACAGTGGACTCAATATACACAGACATACTACAAACTATCTCAGTAAAACAAAAGAGTACATACGAACGTAGTAAGACAGAAGTGTAGGTATGTTGCCAAAAAAAGCCGTATTTGAAAATGCTTCCTGTTGTAATCATAAAAATATCCAATTTATCATATAAATGTACTCTCTTGCACTATAAAATAAAAAAATTAAGAACAACCCCACTACTTACCAACAGCGGCTAGTTAAAGAAATTGCCACATATCCACACACTGGAGTACTGTGTGACCATGAAAAACTGTATCTACTGATGTGCAAAAATCTCTAAGATGTATATTAAGCAAAAAGACAAGGAGAAGAATAATGTATCCAATACACACTATCATTTGGTTTCGAATAAACTAGGGTTGTGAGAGATAAGAAAATGTATGGACTTATGCACGCACATATCAGCTCAAACACACACTGACTCTTACTGAGAGGCTACTCAAGAAACCAAAGCCATTGCTTGTGTCTCAGGAGGGGAATCAGGTGGCTTGGGGACAGAACAGAGACATATTTTTCACTGTACACTTTATGAATTTTGAACCATGGAAACATATTCCCTATGCAACACTGGTAAAAACAATCGAGAGTAAAATAAAAGGCCAAATCCCAAAGCACCAAGAATGGGGATTCAGTTCCCACCATCAGACACTGAACAGATAAAGAACATCTGTACACTGTGCCTCCTTGCACAACCAAAAGAGGGACAACAAATTTAAAAACAAAAAGCAACCAGAACTGACAGAAAATCAAACTATATAGAAGTCTGACAATCAAGGAGTTAAAGAAACATTCATCCAGACTGGCAGGAGGGTGGAGAGAACTCACAGCAAGGCGGTGGCACATTCATGCGCAGATAAATTGGGAGGAATAACTGGGGAGCGAGACAGACCTGCAACCCAGGATCCCAGGGTGGGAAACAAAGCCTCAAAGCCTCCGACCAGAAACACCTGTGGGGTTGAGGCAGCAGCGGGAGAAACTCCCAGCCTCACAGGAAGAGTCTGTTGGAGAGACCCACGGGGTCCTAGAACATACACAAACACACCCACCTGAGAATCAGTACCAGAAGGGCCCAATTTGATTTTGGGTAGTGGGGGAAGTGACTGAAAACTGGCAAAGAGAGGAGCAAGCAGCACTGTTCCCTCTCGGACCCCTTCCCCACAGACAGTGTCACAAGTCAGTGACCTTTGTTGCCACCCCTGGTGAATACCTAAGGTTCTGCCCCTTACTAAGTAACAGATGTGCTGAGACTAAAAAAAAAAAAAAAAAAAAGAAGGCCTAAAATGAAAGAACAGATCAAAGCTCCAGAAAAAAAACAGAACTAAGCGATGAAGAGATAGCCAACTATCAGATGCAGTTCAATACATTGGTAATCAGAATACTAACAGAATTGGTGGAATATGGTCACAAATTAGAGGGAAAAATGAAGGCTATGAAAAGTGAAATAAAGGAAAGTTTATGGGGAGCCAACAGTGATGGGAAGACCAGGACTCAAATCAATGGTTTGGACCAGAAGGAAAAAACATCTAACCACAACAGAATGAAGAAACAAGAATTCATAAAAATGAGGAGAGGCTTAGGAACCTCCTGGAAATTTTTAACATTCCAACATCTGAATTATAAGTGTATCAGAAGGAGAAGTGGAAGAGCAACAAGTAGGAAAGTTATTTGAACAAACAATAAAGGAGAACTTCCCCAATCTGGCTAAGGAAATAGACTTCCAGGAAGTCCAGGAAGCTCAGAGGGTCCCAAAGGAGGAACACGCCAAGACACATCATGATTAAATTACCCAAGATTAGAGATAAGAAGAGAACCTTAAAAGCAGCAGGAGAGAAGGAGACAGTCACCTACAAAGGAGTTCCCATTAGACTGTGAGCTGATGTCTCAAAAGAAACCTTACAGGCAAGAAGGGGCTGGAAAGAAGTATTCCAAGTCATGAAAGGCAAGGCCCTACATCCAAGATTGCTCTATCCAGCAAAGCTGTCATTTAGAATGGAAGGGCAGGTAAAGTGCTTCCCAGATAAGGTCAAGTTCAAGGAGTTCATCATCACCAAGCCATTACTATATGAAATGTTAAAAGGGACTTATCTAAGATAAGATAAAAAATATGAACAGTGAAAGGACAGCAAACTCACAGTTATTAACAACCACACCTAAAACAAAAGCAAACTAAAAGCACAGCTAGATCAGGAGTGGAAACATAGAAATGGAGATCACATGGAGGGTTAGCAACAGGGGAGTGGGAGGAGGAAAAAGGGGGAGAAAGTACAGAGAATAAGAAGCATAGATGGTAGGTAGAAAATAGCCAGGGGGAGGGCAAGAATAGTATGGGAAATGTAGAAGCTAAAGAACTTGTGACACATGGACATGAACTAAAGGGGGGAAATGTGGAGGGAGGGGGTGTGCAGGGTGGAGGGGAATGAAGGGGGGATATGGGACAACTGTAATGGCATAATCAATAAAATATATTAAAATATAAATAAAATTAATTATGTAGCATAGGTGAAAGATATTAAAGTACAACTACTGATTAATTTTTACCTTTTACATATAGGACAACTTAGACCACAAATCCCATATACAGTCAACCACACTTTTCACAGAATTTTCCCCAGTAGCTGCAGTAGTGAAATGACTGGGCAGCTTACCTGTGAATGCCTACATGCTTCAGATGGATCACAGCAACCCAATGTCAAATTCCATTCCTCCCGGCAGCCCCAAGTGACCCCCCACAGCACTTCTGAGCATGCCAAGCATGCTTGAATTAAACAGCCTCTCTGCTGGGGATTAAACCTACTTTCACTCTTGAGTCACTGTATCTTGGTGGCTTTATTTCCAGAATGTCAATCATACATACCTGAAGTTAATAAAATTTGGTGGTGGCAACTTCTGACATATTCTCCATAAGTCTTGAAGTTTTTTGTCTTGATCCTGCACACTAAGAAAAAAATTTTATCCATACCATTTATTAAAACACATATTAGAAATCCCCATGTTTATATGCGACATTAACAATGTTATCTCCAGTGATGGTGAAAGCAGTTGAAAACCAGAACAGACTTGAGAAATAAACAGATCTGGAGTCATACAGCAACAAACTATTTAACTCTGAGCAGTCAGTTAACCTCACCAGCAATCTCCTGATGTGCTGGCCTAAAGTAAGAGGGTTGATTATGCTGAGTGACCGAGGTCTCAGAGGTATAACCATGTGAAACCACCTACACCAATCGATGCCTGGCACACAGGAGACAAGACATCACTGGAAATTCTGCCTAGAAAATGTGTATATTCATCCTGGGCTTCATGGAGCCCAGATCTCTTGTCCTAAACACAGCCAGTAGAGGTGAGTTGGCCCAGCTGCAGGCTCCCAGACCCTGTCTATTCCTGCCTCCATCCTGCTGTGAAGCCAATTCCAGGAGCTCTGCTGCTACACAGTTTCAATGTGCAAACTTTCACAGGCACAAAAAGGGTGGGTCCACATTATGTAGAGCAGAGTCCACTCTGCCTACCAGTGGGAGACAGAATCAGAAGCTGCCAATACAATACTCCCTAAAACTTAAAACATCCTTCAGCACTGAGCCAGTCTAGAGTTATGGGTAGAGATTAAACTTAATTCTACTCCAGAGGCCAGGTGATGTGTCCCTGGGATGGAATGGTGGCCTGTGTTGATAATTCTCAAGCACAGAATCAATACACCAAAAGACAGACATCTGCTTTAAAAGTGTAGTTCCTCACAGAGACGACTGTAAGCGTCAAGAGCAGGGGGGAGTCAAGCTTTATGAGCAGTGGAAAAGGCTAGCCAATAAAACAACCCCAGAGCTCTCCCCTACCTGACAGATGGCCAGGTCCCATTCCTCAGTCCCACGAAAATGAATATTTACATCAGGTTGAGCCCCATGCTGGGTTCCAAGGAGACAACCACAACTAGGAACTTGTTCTGAATCTAAAATCCTCACCATCTTCCAGGGACAAAGTCTCACCGCACCGTGACAGATGCTCAAATACAAATGCCTAGCTGAAGTGACCAGAAAGGTCTCATACCCCTTCTACCAGAACTGATCAGAGCAAATGGCTTATTTCTAAGGGAGTGGGCGACAGTGTCTGAAGATGGAGGGAGTGGATGGAGAGTGAAGTTTGTTTCTCTTCCCTCAGGCCTGAGGAATTAGGCACCTTTCAGAGGAAGGGGTGAGAGAACACTTCTGCTCTGCTAAAATCAACCACTCCTAGACAGACTGACACTCGGGACAGAGGGATAAGATAAAGAATGGGAACCTAGTTTTCAAGTCCAACCAGTTTGAATTACAGCTCTGCCTGTAATTACTCAATACTGTCTTGGCCCTGTTCCTTCCCAAGCCTCAGTGTCCTTATCTGTAAAACGATCATAGCAACAACATCTGTTGCTTAAGCTATTAACTATGGTTACAGGAAGTGAATGGTATTAGTACAGTACTCATAATATAGTAAATGCCTAGTAAGCTTAAGCATGTCAACATTACATTATTGCACACCTGAGTTTCCATGTAGCTCAACAGGTACATTGGCTGGTACAACACTTGTCCCCAGTGGCAGGACGTTCTTCAATACAAAAGCCCATCCATAATGTGGGTATGTATGTCTTCGTTCACTTAAATGACACACATTTAAGCCACTGCATAAGTGGCAGACTTCCCACACTAATAATGACAACACTCAATATTTTCACCATCAACTGAAGAACTGAGGCATATAGACTGTTTAACAAATATGCTAATCGAATGTTATTTTTCTCATCCATGAGAGTAAGATGATTTACAAATGGGACACAATATTACATCATTTTCTTTAACTTTTAAAACTCAGTGTTCTCTAAACTTACCTGGCAACTTGTGTCCATTCTTCATACAGATTAAAAGTCATCAAAGGTTCAGGCAATTCCCGTAAGTAGGACTTTAAAGCACCTGAAATTATTAACACTCTGAGTATGAAAAGGGGGAAGGCTGGGACTCTGAGGACACATTATTTTGCAAATTGAAACAATCTCAATTACAATCTTCCAAACACATAGAACAAATCATGACTTGGTGGGAGTAGTTAAGAAAAAACACTCCTAAAAATTTCCATCCCTTGCAACATACAGGGTAGGGCAAAAGTAGGTTTACAGTTGTTTATATGAAAAATAATAGTATAATTAATAAGTAATAATACAAGAATGGGGGGAAACTGGGACAACTGTGATGGAACAACAGTAAGAGAAAAAATACAAAAAAGAATAAACTGTGTTCCGCATACTCACAAGTGCAAACCTACTTTCACCCTCCCCTGCACACTGGCAGATCAACGGAAAACCAAATCAGCTTCCAAGCCACCTTCTTAACATACATCGCGCCCCCAGGCAGACGGACACGCTGGGGGTGAGCAAAGGGAAGAAAACACAAGCACCTCTTCGAATATTTAGATCACAAGCCATTTTCCCATTTATGTAATATTCAGGGGAGCGGGTAGAATAAGAATAGAAAAGATGTGTCTGTGTGTTTGTGTGTGTCTACTTTTTCCATTTTGTCACTTAAGCCTAAAAGGGGACCATTTCACTTAAAACTAAAATCAACATCGATAAACTGGCTGAGACAGAACTTGCCCACCACCTGGAGGGCACTCCTTGGAGCTCACCTGCTACGGCGTGGGGGTCTGAGTAAAACTCATCCAGGTGAGAAGTAGAACAGTCTAAAGCAGCTTTCAGTTTCTTTAACTTGGAGGCCCCAGCCCCAATTCGGAAAAGGCCCTGAAGATGAAAAGCCATTAGCATCAAGTTCAAGTTGCCAGCCCGTACTGAGCAGCACCCACCTGGCCCCAAATTCTAGCGTACCTCACCTGCAGAAGGGTTACACTGCCAACCCAATAGTCCTTGCCCTGCCCTGTTGCTAAAATATCTGTGCCTACTAGAAATCTATATAAAAGCAATGTTTTATACTTCCACAAGGGTGATGCTATAGATTTCTTAAGTTACGAATATTTTAAAAAATGGATATCTCAAGAAAAATTGTTAGACTGAACTGCATTTTCACTGCCCTAAATATTACTTAGAGCAGAGAGAAAACCTGCTGACATGAAGGGTCAACGAGTGAGGCAGGACTATGAAGACTTTGGGCCAGGAGTTATGAGACTTGGGTTTTAAGCAAAATTAATCTAGTGCAATTTCTGAACCTCAGCAGTACTGGCATTTCGGGACAGATGATTCCTTCCTGCGGGGCAGTCCTGTGTGCTGTAGGACGTTTAGCAGCATCCCTGGTCTCGACTCTCTGGGTGACAGTGGCAACCCTCTTCATCCCACTACGCTGTGACAACCAAAAATGTCCCTAGACCCAGTCAAATGTCTCCTGAGGGGAAAACAATGGGCCCTGGAGGAAAAGTACTGATCTAGGCTATTAGAAGTTGGGGTTACATCATTTGAAGAATAGGTGGTGACCAGAAGGAAATACCATGAGCATTCCTGGGGAGCTTCTTGATCTGCGTGCTGATTACATGCATGGCTCAGTCTGTGAGAATTTATCAAGTTGTCTGCATGATACATACACTTTTTGTATGTCTGTTATATGTCAATAAAGTTTTTAGAAGAAAGCAAAGACTTTGGTTTTGATTCTGGCTCTGCCCAAATGAACTCCCTGTACACTGAATTCCTATCTACACGACAGAAGCAATGGGACCAGCCCTGCTGGGTTCAAGGAGTTTCTTGGGGTAAGGACTTCAGAAAATAAAGTATGTAAACCTGCTACCTGCACCCAACAACCGCAGAGCACCACACAAATGTGAGACTCTTGCTGTAAAAACTGAAGCTCATGGAAACCCTGGTCCCTTATCGTGTGGTGGAACTCATTCTGACAAAGCACAACCACAGTGCCAAATGGATCAAAGAGGACAACAAGATCAGAGTGAGCCACAAGGCAGGACAGTAAAGACTGTCCTGGGAAATCTCAGCCCCAGTTATTGTGTCTGTGACAGGCCTCAATTTACAGCTGGGTCATGGTGAGTAAAGTTGGAAGGCCGCTGCTCTGCCCCTCCTGACGGGACTGTGTGACAAAGACAGATGCAGGGGCACGGGTGCCCTCACCTCCTCCTTCATGCCGGTCTCCAGCAGCAGCATCACACATGCTTCGATGGGCAGCGCGATCTCCCGGCCACTTCGCTTCAAGTGTTCTTCCAATGGAGTCCCGAAGGCTGGCTTCTCCGCCCACTTATCTACAGCAGCAAACCGGTCAGTAAGACCCGACAACCTTGCGGCATCACCAACCCACTGCCTCCCCAAGCTACCAAAGCAGATTATTATTAGCAGACTGGTAGATGGGGCTTTGGGAAAGAGGAACATGTGTCCCACTAACTTTCGTTGTCTACCGCTTACTACAACGTAAAAATGCAACAGGCCAGGACAGGCCTTATGGGGCAGAAGCATGTCTACATAGCACCCAAAGGCAGGGTGCCTGGGAGAAGGGGCTCCCGCCCCCGGTATCACATCCACATTAACATATGACAGGTGGGCAGACTTGGCTAAACAGAGGATACACGGAACACTGTATTTCTGAAAAAGAAATTTATTCTAGCCATGCAAAAAAGCACCGGCCTTCATCTAGAAGACAAGTAATAGAGAAGACTCCTTCAATGTGAAAAAGAAGTAACTTCTCAAAATTTTAAACACAAGTCAAGCACGGTCACACAGGACTGGAGATGCTGGTGTGAACTCAGATGCGACACCTCAGGATAGGCAATACCTTCGAGTGCCATTCCCAGCAGGTCCAACAACTAAGCAGGAAAGAAGGCAGCACCTACAGCCCTACAGCACGAGGCTGGGAGCTATGCTGACAGCAGGAAGGCAATTTTTTACCTTATGTTCAAGTCATAGACTCTGCTTTGGACCACAAAAGATTTGAGGCAGTTTGGCAGAAATACATACAAGAAAGCAGGAAAACAGAAGGAGGAAGACAGGAAAGGGCTGTACTAAGTCAGAACAGGCAGTGGGGGGTTGGCTCTGGCCTGCCGGGGGCTGCAGGGACTGAGCGCTGTCTGGGAGGCTCTTGGAAGCACAGAGGGAAACCAGCTGGTGAAAACTCCGTGTGAGGAGCACTCAGTTCTTCCTACTGTTCAGAATGGCTCCCCTGCCTCTCACATTGTTAATGGGCATTTACTGTTTGAATCTTGGCTCAAAGCAGGCAGTGTTCTCTGTGTCTTCCTACACCTGCCCACATGGAAGAGCACATGCAGGGCCCATCACATGGGCTGCACACAGGGAGGGGAGAGAAGTGAAACCCCATAAAACCACGGACTTGAGCACTTGCGAAAAGCTAAAATTCAACAGAAAGAACAGGTGGGCAGAAGCTGAAGGATGAGGTGAGGGAAGAGGGTGGTGGACAAAATCAGGGAGTAAGCCACTCTCAGAAGTGTCTGGAGCCCCGTGCGTCTGGTCCAGCCCCGGCCACTGAAATTCCTAACAAAGCAAGCAGCCAGGGGCCTGGCCCTTCTCAGGCAGAGGGCTCTGTGATGGCCCCTCAGAGGCCAGCTCTTACCTTGAATACTTTGTCCCTTTTATCTAAAGCAATGATTCTTGGCGTGGGCAGAACACGGCCACCTGATGCTTCTGCTGGGGGATACATCAGAACCACCCAGGAAAGTGGGGCCAATCGCCCCTGTCATCTCCTCCAGCACATGCCTGGCGCTGAGAGGCAGTAGGCTCCAACTCCTGCTGCAACTTTCTAGTGAACAGTGGAGATTGTGCCCTACTCCCCACCCTGCTCACATGTGAGAACCACTGACCTAGAAATAACTCCTGGTGCAAACTCCACCAAAGTCACTGGCCTCTCAAACAACACACCTATTACGTGCCACACACCACAACAGCACTGGAGTTCACAGAGACTCCCACCCTTGGTGTGAGAGCAGTCTAATCATGAGGAAAATACAGGACACACATGTAAACACACAACAGCAATGAACAACACAAGACACATTTGGTGAGTCAGGGCATAAAGATGGTACAGACAGTGTCACAGAGTATGGTGTCTGTCTACAGGGGCTGGGTAGACCAGGTGGTCCTGTTGGTGCTGAACCAGGCGAGGGGGCACAGTGCCTCCCAAAAGGCTGCAGCTTCCCCTTGGACCACACCCATGTTGCTACGTGGGAAAGCAGACCCTGGGTCACCAGACCCTCTGAACTTTCATGGGAAGCCAGAAATTAGGATTGTATGAAAAAAAGTATAGTTTTTGAATGATGGCAACTAGTTGTTTTTTTTTTTTAAGATTTTATTTATTTTTAGAAAAGGGAAGGAAGGAAGACAGAGAGGGAAACATCAATGTGTAGTTGCCTCTCAAGTGCCCCATACTGGGAACTTGGCCCACGACCCAAGCATGTGCCCTGACCGGGAATTGAACCAATGGCCCTTTGGTTCTCAGGCCAGCACTCAATCCACTGACCAATACCAGCCAGGGCAGCAACTACTTTTTAAAAAAAACTTTAATGAGATGTGCCAGCCTACAATTTCTGGTATAGACTATAGATGCTAGAACAATTCAGGAGACAGTGCTCACTGTTAGCTTCGGTTGTAAGAGAAGACCTTGCAAGGAGGGGAGCTTGAGGGGGTCTTAGAAGACAGACAAGAATTTGAAAGACCAAGAAGAAAACCTGAGAAAAGACTGAAAACTTGAGTCCAGAAACTGACATTTCATCCCACAAGTTCATGCACAAGGGGACAAAGACATGGAGCACAGACATACAACAGAAGTGGAAAGGAAAGGTGCCACAGGCAGAACATGACAGAACTGACCACAGTGATGAGAAAGGAAAGAGAGGATGCCTCGAAGACTTCAAACCCGATTGTCTGGAGAAAATGACAGCTGGTGTGAGGGGGAGTCCGTTTAAGGTGACAGCCAGTGATCAAGGCGAGAGCTGAGGCTGTCAAATGAGGGTTTCTAGGGGAAAAGGGATAAGGGAGGGAGGGAGAGACACAAGAGCAAGGACAGCACTTTGGCAAAGGCTGCCTTCTGGCAAGGGGACAGAAATGGAGAAAACGCAGCCCTAACAGTAAAAGAAAACAATCGGGTGAAAGGAGGGGAAAAACTTTAACAAGAAAGAGGTGGCCTAAGCTGTGTCAAATGCCAGGATGTGACAATTAAGACATCACTACTCCTTTGGGAATTACAGTGTTGTTGTTTTCTTAACAGCAGAGTAATTAAGAGTAGAAACCAGACTGTAAAGTGGGAAGGTGGTAGGAAGGTGCAAGTGGCAGGTGGAGATGAGCCATTCAAGGAGCCCACCAGAAAAACGAAGGAGAATGATGTTAAATGGGACACTGTGCCAGCTGACCATGAGCAGGAAATCAGGGCATGCAGGGCCCCTGGGGGCAGGGGAGGCAAATTATTTTTCTACAACAGGGACACTCAGGGTCTTTCTGAAAACAGAGAAAAAGAAAAGGAAGAAGAAGACAGGACAAAGATGAGAGGCAGATATGAGGACAGGCAGAGGTGGAAGAGGCTGAACTCCGAGGCTGAGATGAAGGCAGCAACCTCAGAAAGGGAAAAAGGTGGGTCACATTTCCTTTACTGGCTGCCCCCTCCCCGATACTAGCTTTCCTTATTCCGTCCTCAACCCCTTCCTGCCCCCTCTCTCTTCCCCATGATTTTCTGACACACTTCTCTAGGAAAAATAGGCTTAGGAGAAAAACAGAATGGAAGTTAAAAAAAAAAAAGAGTGCTGAATTAATCTTCTCCTTTTTGTTCTTGTCAATCAACTCTTCCCAACAAGACTCTAAGCCTTGCAGAAGCTAAAATGATGTTTACTACTTTGTCCCCTGCAGGGCCCTGAACACAGTAGGTATTCCATAAACACAGGTTCTCTGTGCTCTGAACTTGGCCTGTGAGTCTGCCTCTGCCTCGTCTGAGGCTGGATGCTCACCAGCAGCCTCTTTTCTTTGCACCATGCTCAGTGGCATCACCCTTGAACCAGGAAATGGATCACTCAGAACAGCAAGGGCACTTGTCCTGGAAAGAACAGCCAGGAGCATCAGTCACACTGCACTAGAGACTACTAACGAGCTGACTCTGTGGTCATCGAGGTATAGAATTTCCCAATTCCATAACCTACAAACTTCCAGCCACAAAGCCAGAACCTGCTGGGACCTCCTAAAATTTAGTGGAGAAGTAGCACTTATGAGGGTGCCAGTGTGTGTGCACACCCACAACACAACCCCTGCTCACACACCTGCTTCCTATCTTTATAGCCAGTAACTACACTCAGCATCTGGTTTCATCCTTTTTCAGTTAGTTCAATAACGGTTTTGCAGGGAACAACCTAAGCTCCAAATGTCAGATCCATACCTCAAGCAAAACAGTAAAATAGACCCAAAGAAGACACAGCAACTTCTGCTTCAACAGTGTTTACTGGCTGATCTCTGTTGGTAAATGCTCTGATGGCAAGTCAGAGAGAATCAGAACCAAAAGGAGAAATGTTCAAATAAAGCTATAAAACTAAACATTAGGTGAAGTTCAGTCCACTCATAACAACGATGGGCAGTATCTGCAGTGTGCTTGAATGAGGTGGGCAAAATACCAGCACCGATGCACAAAAGAGCCTTGTGTCCAGACAACAGGAAATCTGAAGGATGTGGTCAAGGGCTTACGATTCAGTCACCGACTAAGTGCCTGATGATGGGGCATCAAGGACTGGCTTAGAAATTCCTTTTGTAAAGTCCAAAGCATTTTCCCTATAATGTGTGCTCATGGAGTCACGGCACCAGAATCAAGCCTGGGGGGACAATTAACTGATTGGGAAAAGATTGTTAAAGGCTAGAATTTTTCAAGCCTATTCAGAAGAGGAAAAATATATAGGAACTTCCCCCAAAGATTCCAGAAGATTCTCTAAATGTTCTATTAGTATGTTAATTGGGTTTGGAGGAAATTTGGGAATGCAGCAAGAAAAGATGAGATGATGCTGGGAAACAGGCCCTCCAGCAGAGAGACCGCATCCACAGGAAATGCATGCAGGGTTGGGGAAGGGCAGAGGCAGAGGCAGCAGAGGAGGCGGTAGCGGCACGCAGTTACGTTACCTTGATGGGCTTGCATTTCGGGAAGGGCCTTTTCTAAGACTGCTAATGCTTTTCTATGGTAATCTGCTTGGGCTTCTAATAACTGAGAACAGACCCACATTCAAAAACAAAAGTAATGTTAGCACTGGATGGACACACACACACATGGCTGAGCAAAACTAAAAATGAAATCTTTTGCAAAAAAAAGCTAAAATTACTCAATTTTTATAATGCTTTAACATTGTGTCAAGGGCCCAGTGCTTACCGTGACAAAGAACTTGCCATACTCCCCTTCTTTGGCCATGAAGTTGTACATATCTGCTGCAAGCTGATCCTGAGTAAGAGAGAAGACATTAGCACTGAGAAAGACAGAGCTGAAAGAAAACAGCATATGGAATTAACTTCTTGGAGCTCCGAGTGCAAAACAGGATGGAAACAGAGCCAATGAAGCATCTATCAGCTGACTGGCACAACCTGGTGTGGGGATAAGAAAAGCAACAGGGACCTTATTATAGATAGACACAAAAAGACCTCTAAGGTATGTTGTTAAGAAGCAAGGTATAGCCCTGGCTGGTGTAGCTCAGTGGACTGAGCCACAGGCTGTGAACCGAAGGGTTACCAGTTCAATTCCCAGTCAGGGCACATGCCTGGGTTGTGGACCAGGTCCCTAGTGCGTGCCATGTGAGAGGCAATCACACACTGATGTCTTGCTCCCTTCTCCCTCCCTTCCCCGCTCTCTAAAAATAAATAAATAAAATCTTTAAAAAAAAGAAGTGAGGTATAGAGCCCTACTTATAGTATGTTATTACTTGGGTTAAAAAAAGGAGAGGAAAAATGATACATTTTTATCGCCATGGTTATATAAAAATATCTCTAGATAAAAAACAAGAAATTAGTAAAGTAGCTACCTGCTGGGGGCAGTGGAAATTAGGCAGAAAAAGGACAAGGATAAAAGGAAAACTTCACTATATAATGTTTTATACTTTTGATATTTTTTAAACTAATGTAAGTGAATTACTTTCATAAGTTAGTTTTTAAAATGTGACAGATTAGGCAACTGGATATATATATAGTTAATCTTAATATATACACACATTAGAACTTCATACATATATTTTTAATGTCCTGCCTTCTATTTTTAGCATCAAGGTATACAAAATTAACATGAGGGTCCCTTGTTTATTTAAAAAATCTGAAAAAGCTATTTAGGAGTAACAGACATTCTTTAAGAACTACTGGGAAAGTAACAAAGTGAATTAATGGATTCTCCCCCTGCCAAAAAATAAAAACCAAAGAAAAGAAAAGGAAAAGACAAAGGATGAGTAAAGAAGGGAAGGGATGGAGGGAAGGAGGGAGGAAGAGAGGAAGAGAGCCAAGGAAGGAAGGAAGGAAGGAAGGAAGGAAGGTCGGTTGGCCAGCCTGACATGAATGGAAGTTAGGGATGAGCTGGTGTGAATCTGTGCTAATTTTGGTAGCCAAGGTGTTAAGAGTCTAGCAGTTACCTGGGGTCAGAGGACAGAAAAGGAAGCCTTGGGCTTGGTGAGGTGAGAACTGTTAACTGACAGGTGCATGCGCATCACTCATAACGATAAAACTTCTGAGAAACTATACCCTAAAGAAAGGGTAGATCAGAAAAAATTCGTGAAGCAGACATGGAAGTAATAGGGTATATCTGTTTTGGACTGGCTCTGGGTCAGGGACAGTAAAACATCTCCCTGAGATTTCATAAACACAGACCTGCTTTCATGAAGGTTATACACTTGGGTTTCACTATATGTGTGGTCCAGGAATCTTAAGAGTAAGAACGCTGAGTTAAAAAATGGCCCATACTGCTAATAAATACTCTCTGGGGAGACTCATTACCAAATCCCCACGAATTCCACATATGAAGTCCCTCTTAAAATGAGCTTACAATACAAAATTATGAAACAAATGAGAAAACAACCAGCATAAAGCAAACTCCCACCACTCTTACCAAAGACTGTTGAAATAAGTATATACAAAATTATTTTTTAAATTAAAAATAAGTACTAAAAAGAACGTAACAGCAAAAAAGGAAGAATTCAAGAACTGAAACTTCAGAAATGAAAAATACAGTCAATGAAATTTAAAACTCAATGTGAATAAATTAAACAGCAAATCAGACACAGCTAATGTAATCAGTGAAACAGAACTTAGACCTCAGGAAATTACCCAAAAGTTAGCATAAAGAAAGAGAAAATATTTTCCTAGGTTGAAAATACATTTCACCATTTGAAATGACAAGCCATGGTATGGAAGCTTAGGGAAGAGACTTCAGCCCATAATGTACTACCAGTTCAGACTCCACAAACCTCTAGCCAAATTTACATCTAATAAGTAGCCAACATCTTAACCTAGCTAAGATTTAAGTTATAACAAGACTGCTGGGTGAATGACACTGGCAAAGCTAATACCCTGCTGAACAGAATTATGCTAGTGTGAGACTATTTTATCGGAAGAATTTATCTGAATAACATCTTTTAAAATGCAAGGCTATGGCATGACTTTGGGAGTTTAGAACTGATCAAGGTTTGCTATATTGAAAAGTGAATTACAGCATGACCTGATTAAACTAAAATAAAACAGACCCAACACTATCTAGTAGAATAAAGAGGACATTTTTGGAAAAGGATAAATAGTAAGAGCAAGAAAAGTCGAAGTTGATCATTCTATAAGTCATCAAAGACCTGTGTCTTTACCACCTCAAACTACCTTTGGAATAACATCTGTTTTCACAGATACATGACAGAGAATGAGGTCACTTACCCATCTAATCTGGAATTTAATCCACAAGATACAAAGTTCCATTTATCCCAAATTATAAACCACTGTCCAAGCAACACTTAAAAAATAATTCTTCCCTTCCTTATAGACATATGATAACCCTTTTATTATAAATTCAATCTTTAAATATAATAGCATTTTAGAAGATCTTAGAAAATCTGATCTATTTTGGTGCCTAAAACAACTGTACATTGTTTTAATTGTAACTTTATGGTATGTCTTGCTATGGTTTCTCTCCTTTTTTTTCACCTATTCTTTATTTTAAATAAGCTTAAACATTTTTTGTTGAGTTTTTAAAATACACTACTTGACTTTAAAAAAATGTTTTATTCTAATTATATAGGAATGCACTCTTAGAAAATAAAAAGAAAATAAAAACCAGTTTTAATACCATTCAGAGTACTCTGATAAGAATTATGTAAAAACAATTTGACCTTTCACCTATCATTTGCAAAAACCAAAGGTTGATGCCAATACATGTTTGCACACCTTGCATTGTTCTACTTTATTTCCAGCTTCATCCATCTCTTCCTTTAGGGTATCTATTTTTGACGGAAGCCCCTGAAAGTTGGTTCCTGAAGATTTGTGAGCCTGGTTCCACCTGCAAAACACAAGGGTAGTCATTATCTGAGAATCACCTGTATATACGTGGCCTTATGTACCTGAGGGAGACAGATTCCTTCCACAAAACTGATTCTACTTGGGACAGGTACCAGCACCTGGATGGCAGTTTCTCTCATGTTTATCCTCTAAGAATGGAATCAGGCAAAAAGAGCCATCAGCTTCTCACCATGACAGGATCTTACACTGCTGGAAGGTACTGTCTGCTCCAAGCAAAACTGACCATGTCTTGTCTCACATAAACCTCACTGCCAGAAATCGGCCACAAAACCCGTTTCCTACAGTGTGTAGTAACGGACTCCTTGCTATAAAACACCCCACTCTCGTGCTTTGAGCTGAATATTCCCTATACCACTGGAAGTCAGTTCCACAGGACTCTTAGGACTCTTCCTACTTCCATCCTGACCTGTGATGACTTTCAGCAAGTAAAAGCCATAACTCTGGTCATGTATCTAGCAACTGATAGCTATGAAAGCACTTTGATAAAAAATCCTTGTAAGAATAAATATTCTAAAGACAAACATCTACAGCGAATCTTAAACATAATGTAGAATACTATGTTCCTTTTACAGTAAGTCAAAATGACAAAATAAGAATATATACTATAGCAATAATACGGAAGCTCATGGGGGCAGAGGTGATAACTAACTTGACTTTTAATGGAGTGGTGTTTCTCCCTGCCTCCAAAGCGAACAGCAGATTAGTGGTGCATCTGATAGTCAACAGTGTCTTACAAACAAGGCAGCATTGTCACAGCTTTTCCAAGTCAGCAATAAAAGCATCTGACATGAAGAAACTCTGTAAATGACAGCTGTGTTGCCATGTTTGCCAAACAGATAATCATATCTACTTCACGGGACTTGAGTGAGGATTAAGAGCTAACAAGTAGGTGCCAGCAAAGCCATGTGGTTTTATAAATAAAGTTTTATTGGAACACAGCGATGCTCATTCATGTACAGATTGTACAGGGCTGCCTTTATGCCACAGTGGCAGAGCCAAGCAATTGCAACAGGAACCATCTGAGTTGCAAAGATGAAAACATTTTTATTATCTGGCCCTTTACAGATGAAGTTTGTCAACCCTTGTGATAAAGTAGGAGAAAAGACCTGGCAGTGGTGGCTGCCTGGCCATTCCCAACTCCCAGGGACCCAGGGAGAAACCCACATAGGTCACTGATACAAATGTGCTCATCAAGAAAGCAGCTGAGGCTGTGGCCAGGCCACAGTGCACTAGACCAGTCATATGACATCAGCCCACAAGTCAGCAGCTGTCTGGGGTGGTACTTAGTTTTACCCAAGTGCCTCTCTTCTGAGTGTGGCATTTGATTGTGAAGGTAATCATAATGGCACATGGGCTTTGACCATGCTGGGACCCTGAAGAGCTAAGATCACAGATCTAATTATTCCTACGCTCTACTTTGCCAAGAGCAATGCTCTTAGAACTGTCTTCTCTCCCCTCAAGGCACTCAGGTTTCTTTTTTCTTTCCTCTTTTCATTATTGGTTCACAAAGATCAGGACGGTCTAGTCTAGTATCATCCCTTCTGCCATGATTGGGAGAATAAGGCCTCAAAGCAGGTGCAAGCAGCTCAGGTGGGTGAACATATGACAATTTCCACTTGTCCATAAAGGGGTCTTTCTCTCACCCGTGTTGGGGATGGGAAGGGTGAATGGGGAGGAGGCATGCTGCCGCATTATTGGTTATTCTTCCAGCTCTACCTTACCTGGCTCTGACTGAGTCCCAGTCTAACACCAACTTGGCAAGCTGTTTCCTCTGTTTTTGGATGTTGGGAATCTCCACCTAGAAAGAACATAATATCTCACACCAATTGGGATGAACTTTGGGTTTTTGGCTTAACATTTAAAACTAAAATATTTATTTATGGATTTCTTTTCTCTTAGGCAAAGGATTGTGAACTGTCAATTCACTCCCTGTATTTCCAAAAAGAAGTCAAAGCCACTGATTATTGTTAAGTTTTCAGACACAAGAGCACCATTTGCTGCCCAGCCTGTACCAGAAGTGCCCACCTCTGCTATGCTATATAATGGGTCCACAATCTCCTTCTCCACGAAGACCTCGTGCTGAGAGAGCTCTAGAGCCAGCTGATTCTCGGCATCTCCACATGTCTCCAGCATCCTCCTTTAGAACAACAAACACAAGTTCACTAAATCAAGCACCTACTTACAAAGGGGAGTCAGTTCTGCCCTCTATATAATAGATGCCTATTATATAGCCATGAACACCCCACCCCACCCCCCTACTTCCACTAACCCAGGGTGCCTGGCTCTTTCTGAGAGTAGTGCCTCTTACCCCAGGAGAGAGTCTTCCAGCTGTGTTGCTGCCTCTTGCATATTCTGAGCGAGAGCTGTCAGAGGGAGCTTTTTCTGGAAAGCCAAAGAGTTTTTTTCATGAATATTGACACCCATTGTCAGTTACCTACTTCAGGTCATCATTCATTGATTTCTCCTCCAGGCAAAGAACACAGGTAGGAGACAGCCTTTCTGGGCTCTTGCTGTGGTTTCAAAGGTATGAGCTGTGTGACTTAAGCTCTGGTCAATTTCTGTGCACCTAGAATACGGGTATGATAATGTTGAGAGTGTCTCGGGGCCGTTAAGGATAGAAGGAGGTATTCAACCTCAGGTACTGAGGATGTGTTAAGTACCCAGTAAATGTTAGCTGATGCTTTGTTGTTGTTGTTGCTGTTAACATTATTAATGAACAGGTGCACACTATGTCTCAGGCATGAGGGACACAAGACACAGACTTGCTCTGATATCACAACAAAAATAAATGCAGTATGGCGCTCAACTTCAAAAACTTTCGTCAGAATAGACATTCTTATAGTGGCAGTTAAGTTGGCTATAATCAAAAGATTAAGCTTTAGCTACAGATCCAAAACTAGCTGAATTTCTAAAGAAACATTTTTTAGATTTTTAAGCACAAAGCCACTTATTTTCTGATCACAGGTTTTTGTTTTTTTTTTCTCAGCTAGAAATGGCCATAAGGACCACCTGATTAAGTTTTCATTGCATAGTCAAGAAACCTGAAGGCTTAGAGGTTAGACAGAATGACCCAGGAGAGGGATGGCAGAGCCAGACCCCAGTGCTGGTGGCCTGAGCCTCAGAATCAGTCTTGCACCACTGGCTGATGGCACACCTCAGGATACTAGGAAAGTAAGAAGTGTGTTGGTTACACCACCATAATCTGCTAACAGAAAGTGCTTTCAATGTGTAGTGTCCCATGTAACTCTGCCTCCCCACTAGAAAGGGTACTCACATTAGACACAGGATCCACCTCACTCTGGCTCTGCGCCTTAACCTTGGGCATGCCACCTGTCTTTCCTGCTTTCACAGGGCTCCATCTGACACACTCACACCTGTATTTGCTTGTATTGTACAGAACACCTCTGAGAGGCTACTGAAGGAATGCTGGTGGTTCTGAAGAGGGTAACAGGGAAAGACCTCACTTTGTGTTCTTTTGTATATTCTGGAGTTTGACCATATAAATGTACAGCATGTTCGAAAGCGTCCACTGAATTTAAAATAAACAACTAGTATATTTACCCATCCCTCCTCTACCCAAGTTATTTTCAATAAGTATCCAGCTTCACTTGCCCGCTTGCCCACTTCCACACTTCTAGACTTGGAATATATGAGAAAATGGGCAGTGTGTTTTCATTTCAGTAGAAGATAATCCTTTCTGAGGGAATTTAATTAAATGTAATAATCAAGAGAAATATACTTGGTGCAACTCTAGAGCTGTACAGGCCTATGGGGGAATATCACAGAGAGGAATCTTTTCTGATGAGTATCATTCCAACTCCCAGCTGTAAACAGCCTGTGGTTTCTATGCTCTGACCCCAAAGCCACATCAATCCTGTTTCTCATGTCCATAAATAAGGACGCTCTGCTTATTTAACATGTGAGCTCATTAACAAAGATACTGCCCATCAACATCAAACTCCTCCACAGGGAGAGCTGAGGGCTTCCTAAGCATGAACAGCTTTTTGTCACCAGGACTCATTTTAAAAAACTCTAAAGTCATAATTTATAAAATGCATGCCAACTGCACAAAAAGTATTTCTAGATCTGATATGAACTATAACATAAGCTCTGCCACATCAATGGCTTGGGCTGAGAAGGCCACCTGCCCCGTCTCTCTGTCCTTAGTTCTTGCCTCTTCATGTGTGTGGGGGTTTCTGGTGGGGCTTTTGGGGTCTCCTCCTATATTTCCTACAGCCCTAAAGACTGCTGTGATTTTCTCCATATTCTATGACCTCTTCTGGTCATCTCCTCTATCATTTCCGTGGTGACTGCTCTTCCCGCATGCAGACTTCCAGAGTGCAGACTTCCTCAGAGCTTTGTCTCAGAAACTTTTGTTTGAGATTAAAAAAGGAGGACTAAGGCATTAGGTTTTAGAAACGAGGGCTACATACAACCTTGTTTTTTTTTTAAATTTTTTTATTGATTATGCTGTTACAGTTGTTCTATTCCCCCTTTCATTCCCCTCCACCCTACCCCCCATCCCCACCATTACCCCCCTTTAGTTTATGACCATGTGTCTCAAGTCCTTTAGATTCTATATTTCCCATACTATTCTTGCCCCCCCCATCTATTTTCTATCTACTGTCTATGCTACTTATTTTCTGTACCTTCTCCCCCCTTCTCCTCCTCCCACTCCCCTGTTGCTAACCCTCCTTGAGATCTTCATTTCTATGTTTCCACTCCTGATCTCGCTGTCCTTTTAGTTTGCTTTTGTTTTAGGTGTGGTTGTTAATAACTGTGAGTTTGTTGTCCTTTCACTGTTCATGTTTCTTTAACTTCTTTTTCTTAGATAAGTCCCTTTAACATTTCATATAATAAGGGCTTGGTGATGATGAACTCCTTGAATTTGATCTGATCTGAGGAGCACTTTATCTGTCCTTCCATTCTAAATGAAAGTTTTGCTGGATAGAGCAATCTTGGTTGTAGGTCTTTGGATTTCATGACTTGGAATACCTCTTTTCAGCCCCTTCTTGCCTGTAAGGTCTCTTTTGAGAAATCCGCTGACAGTCTGATGGGGACTCCTTTGTAGGTGACTGTCCCCTTATCTCTTGCTGCTTCTAGGATTCTCTCCTTCATTTTAATTTTGGCTAATGTAATGATGATGTGCCTTGGTGTGTTCCTTCTTGGGTCCAACTTCTTTGGGACTCTCTGAGCTTGCTGGATTTCCTGGAAGTCTATTTCCTTTGCCAGATTGGGGAAATTCTCCTTTCTTATTTGTTCAAATAAGTTTTCCACTGGTGGCTGTGCCTTTCCCCCTTCTGGTACCCCTATAATTCGGATGTTGGAGCGTTTAAAGATGTCCTGGAGGTTCCTAAGACTCTCCTAATTTTTTTGAATTCTTGCTTCTTCACTCTTTTCTGTTTGGCCATTATTTGCTTTCTTCTGGTCCACTCCATTGATTTGAGTCCCAGTTTCCTTTTCATTGCTATTGGTGTCCTGTGCAATTCCATTCATTTCAATTAGTTTCGCCTTCATATATTTGTCTAATTTGTGGCTATAATCAACCAGTTCTGTGAGGATCCTGATCACCAATGTTTTAAACTGTGCGTCTGAGAGTTTTGCTATTTCTTCATCACTTAGATCTATTGGCTCTGGGGCTTTGAGGTCTTCTTGAGCCATTTTTGGTCTGTTCGCGCCCTTTAAGTGTGAGAAGCGGCGCCTTGGACTCCCAGGTCGCTGGGTTGTTGATGCTGTATGTGGGGACATGGTCAGAGTGGGGAAATGGCGACCCCCTCTGCTGTTTCTCGCAGCTGGGTGAGGATCAGTGCCTTAGGTGGTTCCCCTGGGCCGGGCCACTCAGAGTCGCTGGGTTATGACGCTGTACGTGGAGGTGGGGTCAGAGCAGGGAAATGGCGGCGCCCTCCACTGCCGCTTGCCGCGGGACCCGCAGGCCCCAGTCCAACCGCCCACTCCCTCGCCTGTCCACCCGCGCACAAATGGGTGACCACAGTCAACACGCAGCCCCCCTGTCTCCCCCACGGTCGCTCGCCTGGTTGCTCGCTCGGTCGCTCACTAGGTCCAACCCTGCGCCTGGATTCCGTGTGCCAGGATTCCGCGCGCCTGAGTCCGTCTGACCGAGTCCTCCTGTGCAACCCCGTTTCACCAGCCGCTGGTTTCGCCCCTTACCGGTCAGGCTGAAGAATTTGTTGTTAACGGACTTCCGAAAAGTTCAATTTTCCGTGTTCTGGCTGTGTTTTCTGTTGCTAATATTTAGTTGTCTCTAAACTTGGTTGTGTGAGAAGGCACGGCACATCCACCTATGCCTCCATCTTGGCGGAAGTCACAACCTTGTATACTTAACCCCAAGCTCACTACCACCTACAAAGGAGGGCCAGGTAACCTTTGCCCTGGCTCCCTGGAATAGGCCTATTACCTGCCACTCTTTCCTGCCTTTACAGCTAGGCTACTACCTCCTCCAGAAAGCCTCACCTGAAAATACCTTGTGCATATTTTATTTAGCATGTTGTTTTATAAGTATACATTTGTGTACATCTCCCCCACCGGGCTGTGAGCACCTTCTAGGTGAAGGTGGCCTGTTATTCATTTTATACCTCCAGTACTTGTACATGGTATGTCTTGTTCCTTTTGCCTGTTTTGAGACACAGCCTGGCTGTCACATGCATTCACTAGACACAAATATTTGTCAAACACCTAGCTGTGTGAAGGTCAATGGCATATAGCATGAATGACAGGAAGCGGAGACAATGAGACTTATAAAGGAAAACGCAGTCAGATTACCGAAGACTTATTAAATCATGCTGAAGAGCTCAGGCTTAACCCAGGCACTGAGCAGTGGAGTGTCCCTGCCAGACACTGATGGCATTATGGTCACTAACCTGTGCAGAACTGTCCTTCCAGACGCTACAGATGTTTGTCATCTTGGTCCCCCACCTTTCAAATGCCTGGGATTCAGTAGTGAACCTCAGTCTCTATGGCAACCAGAAATGTTTCTACACATTTCCAAATATCCCAGGACTGTAACCTGTTCCCTGTCAAGAACAACTAAGTTTTGTTTTTGTTTGCTTGTTTTTAAGCAGGAGAGTAGTAAGATCAATTTGTATTCCGGGAGACCAATTCTGTTAATCAGGTTGAAGACAGTATGGAAAGAGGGCAATCAACAGGACATTTAACTCTGGAGGAGCCTGTGGCAGTCCAAGTGAGAGGACATTGGGTTTCACATTAAGGTGAGGTGGCAGAGTTGGAGTGGGGGTAAGAAAGTCAGAAAGTACTCACAGAGAGTCACAGGACTTGCTCATGAAGGCACTCCAGGAGAGAGAGGATAGGATGAAAGGGGATGTAAGATAACCCTAAAGTTTCTAGTTTGCATAACGGGGTGGATGGAATTTGAGTCAGCCCCTAAGGAAGAACTGGTTATGCATACTAAAGCAGACAGCTAAGAGAGAGAGTTCTTTACTTGGCTGCAAATGGTTTAGAAGTACTGGCATGGAGAAATCAGTTAGAGGCCGTGAGACTAGAGGAGGCGGCCCAAGGAATGTGACTGTGAGAAGACTGAGGAGGACAGAACCCCGGGGAACAATATTCAAAGGGCAGGTGAACAGAAGCCATGGCAAGAGGAGGAGCTGGCAGGGGCAGAATCAGTGGATTGGGTCTGACTTTGAAGGATGGGGCCTGCAGCAGGCACTTGAGGTTGTAGGTGTACGCAAACTTCCACCCTTTGCTATACAAACTGCAGAATGCTCAGGCAAGAGAGAATAACCCAGCTGTCGAGATGCCCCATAAATGTCTGCAGGAAATATAAAAGGGTGACACAGGCCATCTGTGTGGCAGCTCTTCGTTTTGAGACACCTGGTAACAAAGCAATATAGAAAGAAGATTTCTCACTCTGTTAAGACAACCACTGGAAGAGAAGCTTTCTACTCCTGTGGGATACACATAAGGAAGAGAGCACCCATAGAAGGTAATGGTAGCCAACCTGCAACAAGGAGGGCGACCGACTTAGGGGCCAAGCAAACACTGAAGGGAAAGGGGAGAGAAGGCAAGACAATGGGCTTCTGGTCACATCGCTGAAATGCTAGACCAAGCCTTACCTAAAGTTCATTCAAACTTCTGGACTTTTGCAGAAGTAAACCAGTAAATCCTACTTTCGAAGTCAATTTCAGACAAGTCTTCAGCCTTTTGCCATCAAAGGATTCCTAAATCAACATGTCCATTCTCTAATCAATAATAAGTGGCTCAAGTCAAAAGCACTGGAGTGAGCAGGGCTTTCAGCTCAGTGATGTTTTCAGCACAAAAGAATGTTGTGGTAGGGCAGGTGCTGTGAGCACAAATGGGATACAAGGCACAAATTTGCAGGGGAATCTGCTGATGTTGCTTGGGGAAATCCAGCCAATCAAAGGAGAAAAGGCCCTCAAAGACACAACATCTCTGACTCAAAATCACATTTGATACTCACATGTCTCCTCTCAGCATCGGTACCATGCTGGCCCTGGAAGCAGGTTGTCAGTCGCTTGTGAGAATGGTGGCACATTGACCGAACTGCATCCAGGCGCCGTTCAATCTGACAAAACAGAGACCAATGAGCCACTTGCAGGGCTTAAGAATAAACTTGGTCCCTTAAGTTAGTGCCTACATTACGCAGTAAAAGCATCTGCAGTCAAATTTGTTGGCTCTCAGGTGTAAATGCAAATGGTTTCTGTTCACTGGCACCAGGGGTTCTCACTATTGACATTTGGGGCTGGATAAATGTGGGTTGTGGGTGACTGTCCTGTGCATTACAGTATGTTTGGCATCATTTCTAGCCTCTACTGACTGGATACAAAGAGTACTCCATGCCACCAATTGCAACAACCAAAACTATCTCTACACAATGTCAAATAATCCCTCAGAGGACAAAACCACCTTTAATTGAGAATCACAGACTTCCTTTACTCTGAAGGTTTTAGGTCCCTTGGAAGCTGAATGTATTTGCAGATAGAAGGGACGGTCCCACCTAAAACTTGCTATCAGAAAGAGGAGTGGCAGTGAAATTGCATACCACAGCAGCATCAGGAATGTGCAAGGTTCAACCTGCAGAGGCGCAAGCGAGTATCCTGGGCCCAGACTCAGGCCCACTGCAGGGAGGGAAAATCCCAGGGCACTCAGAAGCTCTCTCCTGCACATGGCAGTGCAGCCTTCCACACACATTAGGCAAAAAAAACAAAGCAAATGGTCTACAATCTAACCTCAGGACCAGTGTTTTCAAATTTATTCCTTATTGGGCTAGGAGTTAAGTTTTTGTTTTTATTTTTTTAATAAACCCCTAAAGCAGAATGGCAGCCACAATATGAAACACTGACTTAGAGGACTCCTGCCTCATGATTAGCTTCCCAAAATATTACCACTGGGATATGGCTATTTATGTCAAAAGGACCTGCTTTTTACAAGAAGGAATGCCAAAAATGTGTACTCTGATGACTCATTAAGAATGAGAGCAGGCCCTTAGGGATGCTTTCTGTTTTAAAGAAAAATCAACAATTCAAAGCAGAATACATTTTTACCCCAAACCATTTTACCAAGTGAGCAGGTCCTCAGGGCAGCAGCAGCTTCAGTCCAGACGCAAGCCCAGGGGATCACAGGGCCCTGTCTGGCTGGCACATTCATATTTAGGAGCAGATGCCACGTTGGCTTCCCCAAATCTTACGATGGCCAGACTTTAAGACATTAGACAACAAATACACTCTCTTCATTGCCATGAAAGCATGGAGGGAAAAAACAAAAACAAAAACCCTCCCTTTCACTTTGATTCCAATTTCTACTACAATGGAAAGCCTGTAGGAACACAGGTCTTGGGCTGTCTGCTCACTGATTGATCCTGAGAGCCTGGAATGCCATCTGGCACACGAATGGAGGGTATTCACTTAATATCTGTTGAAAGGACATGTATCCACTGAGTCCCTATGCAAGGGATTAGGAAATAAATGGTGGTCCCTGCCCTCCAGGGAATCACAGTTGCCCTAGGAAACAACATACAAGCGAAATAAAAAGACAGCCTTTTAAACTGCTCTCATGGAGATCTAAGAAAGGATGTAGGATAGTGATTTTCAACAGGAGTTCATCAAGATTCTTCAATAAGAATTTTACCTATTAGTCAGGGGCACTGACCTCTTTTCCCTTAGACTGTCAAATAAAAAGTAGCAGTAGCCAACACAACAATAGCCATCCAGTGTGAATGAATCAAAATTATACCTATATTTTGTCAAATTGGAGAAAAATATATTTTTGGTGTGCCACAGAATTTTAGTAATTAGTTTATGTGTGCCATGAGATGAAAAAGGTTGAAAATCAGATACAGGAGAACAGAGAGTAAATTAAGGGAAATTTAACAAAAGAAACAAAATAATTTCTGTGGCTTGTAAGAGTGGGAATAAAACAAATCACCATTTAGCACTGATCACATATAGGGTTCCATTCTCAGTGCTTCCCATGTTTAATTCATTACCCCCCTCCCACAACAACTCTATAGGGGCATAGAATTATTACCCACCTTGTAGAAAACTGGAAACTGAGGCACAGGGAGGTTAAGTAAACCCCTGAGGCCACCAAGCCAACAAGGGCAAACCTGGAGTTCAAATCCAGGTAGCTGGGCACCAGACTCCACACTTTTAAACCACTACTCTCCTATATTCTCAAAAACAACAGAAATCAGGAAAACATCTGTAACAATTATGGCATACATGGAGTAAGTGTCTGTGACACAAAATAAAGAGTTCCTAGAAATTGGAAAACTCTCAGGCCCCAGTGGATACTTGAGCAAAAGGACAAGAACAGATGGCTGCCACTTGTGTTCCATGAGAACTCGGCCCTCTGGCCTCATCTCAAGGCTTCAAGGAGTAAATGAGGTGATGTTTATCACTGATGGGGGATGTGGGCAGGAGAATACTGATGCAAAAACTGAGTGTAGTTAAAGCTTACCTGGACCAAACAATATTTCTGAATGTCTGAAAATGAGTTTGAAATATATGACAAATAGCAGTGAGGAAATAATTAAGAATATGAGTCTCTAATAAATCTTAAAAGGAGGGGAACCCTTCTAATCCTTAACAAAAACTTCTAGCCTTCCGAAAAAGAAAAAAAACATGTTCTTAAAATATTCTACCTGCAGATGGCTGTCATGATTTAGGGTATCATGGCACAACATGGTGAAAACAGCATTTTAAAATATTACACTCCTTCCCTCCACAGGAAGAGCAGAAAGCCACCTGGGAGCAGGTCTCTAGTCCTTGGTGACTCACTGGAGCACACCTGCTGCAGGTTACAGAAATGAGAGGCAAGGAGACAGGTGAGGAGGCTCAATAGAAACCTCTATACCAAAGAGGTTCTTGTCCTTCCTGAAGTATCTGCTGTGGGTGATGTTGGCGTACGGTAGGGGGAAATGATGTATATCAAGGGTCCAGGGATTTCTGGGAGAAACCCCTGTCCCAAAGTTAGGGAAACCTGTTGAGGGATGGAGTGGAGTGGCCCTGGCTCAGGGCCTGAGCAGGAAACACCCCTTCCTACAAAGAGGAAATAATGTTGGAGCTAATGCCTTGAGGCTACCCTATTGCCTCATGGTGGTCCCAACACATCCAATCACTGTCACTGAGACTCTAAGTCCTCCAAGGGCCCAATTCAGCCCAGAATCGGGGAACAAAACTGTAAGAGGGAGCAAGAAGTCAAAACTCTAGGCTAAAGCCAGTGGGGCCTCTGCTGCAGCTGGCAGGGCCTGTCCCATCAAGGGCACCATCACAGTAGCAAACTAGAGTCCGTCAGCCTGCCCAGGACTCATGACCAGGCCACAGTGCCAGGAATGGGCCAGGCAACCAGGTCCCTCCCCTGCCCCCACTCTGACACCTGGTACTTGAAAGTGGGACTAGCCCCATTTGGACTTTACAACAAGACAGCAGAGTTTCAGATCCCCTTTTTATCACTGAGCAACTCGACAGCTGTTCTTTCCTGCTCAAACCATGCTAATTAACTTTATTCTGTTTCAGGTTAAAAAAAACAAAAACAAAAACAAGAACATAAGCTTTAGTTCTGACCTATGGATTTTTTTTAACATGTCTTTAAACAGAACAGTTCAAAAAGACTTAATATTGTTACCTGTAACAGATCTTCACTGAGGACTTCTGTTTTCTCGGCTCTGTTGGAACAATGAAAAGTTCACAGTTAGAGATCCAGAGATGAAAAGCAAGTCAGGACAATGAATAATTATTACCCCAGAATTTAAAACAAAACAGGCAGAAGCGAATGTAACAAGAGGAGAAATTCTATAAATTTTTACATCAGAGGGCAACTTAAGCAAAATCAAAGAAAAACAAACAAAAGTTTACCGAGAATAACAACCCAAACTCACCTCAGGAAGAGATTCTAACTCAGTAGTTTTGGAGCAAGACGCTTCCCTTCTTTAACAAGCTCTGCTCCGCCCAGAGTTCCATGGCAACCCGAATGAGAACAGGTAGCTAGCTCTAGAGGAACTTAAACTTCAATTCCTAAAATGATCATTTCTGAGTTTCACAGCCTGAAATGAGTTTGTCACAAATCTAGAAGCAGTATTCAGTGATATACAATAGTAACAATCAGTGCTCCTTCCTTTAAATTTCTCCTTATCTTTACTTTAGAAAGTTATTTTCACAACTTGCTCTCATCTATGCTTTAGAACTACTGTTAGTACCAAGGACCTTGCAGAAAAGCAACATGGCAGCCACAGCCAGCAAAGGTGTTGCTGGTGCCCCCCCCAGCTGCTGACCACAATCACTTTGTAAGAAGACTTATCTCTGCAGTTCAAAAGGGCAGCATGTTGCTACATATATAAAATGCCCAGAATTACTACAATCTAAGTGGCATTTGGACTTCTGTCTCAAATAGTGATTTAAGCCAAGCCATTTAACAACCCTACCAAATTCCCATGGAAATAAACAAGGACATTTCTGAGAGGAAAGGGAAAGTCTGTTGCAACCCTCAATAATGGGGGCTAGGGGAGGAAGGGAACATCATCTAGGAACAAGAAATTTGAACCCTTTTTTATAAGATGTATTGCAGAATGGAAGGCTGCAGATCTTGCCCGTGAACTAGTACAAGAGAAGGAAAAGCCATCAGGTCAGAAAGTGAACACAACCCCCTAGAAACGACCTCTAAACACTGCTAAGCTCAGATCAGCACCAGCTGTATGCAGGATGGTAGTGCATACCTCCAGCCCACACTGGGTGCTAGCATGTCAAGTAAAACTGAGCATTGCCACAGAGGACTCCAATACCAGTTGTCACGGCAGTGCCCCAGTTAACTTGGATGCCCATGGGAGTGGCTCACTTACTGGTTTCTGTATGAAACTGGAACTCTGATCTGACTCAACTATCTCCCATGTTGAGAGGAGAAAAGCCTGCAGACTAGGTCAGGCTCTTCTCCCAGCTTCCAAGGAAGCTCTCTGAACAGGTCCTGCAAACAGCAGGCCAAAATATCCAGTCCAGGGCTCACTTGGCACACAGAAGCCAGGCATTGCTGAAGTGCCAAATACAGGTAGTCATGCCAGTCAGGGAAGTGCAGCAGGTCTCCAGCTGACTGTGAGTTCAAGCAACTGGCATCAAAAAGAACCCCAACAGTCAACCGAACTAGGGCTGACCTGGCATGAGACTGCCTGAGCTTCCTGATGTCTGCTCAGTTCCCAGTAGCCTGGCCCCGCCTCTAACAAAACACCTCCATGGACTGTGGAATTTTCACTGTCTTCTCAGGCCAAGACCCAGAGATCTGAACAGGGAGGGCCCCACACACCTTGACAGAACTCCAAAACCTCTTCCTTCTGTGAATGTAAGTATACACAGAGGAAAGTCCCAATTCCTATTAAAATACAGTTGACCCTTTAACAACGCAAGGGTTAGGAGCAGCAAATCCCCACATGGTAAAAAATCCACATATAACTTTTCACTCTCCCCAAACTTAACTATGAAGAGCTTACTGCTGACCTTACCAATAACATAAACAGTCCATTAACACATATTCTATATGTAATATGTATTATATGTGTATTCTTACAACATAAAGGAAATGTTATTAAGAAAATCATAAAGCAAATACATTATACAGTATTTATTTTTAAAAAAACCCTATGTAAGTGGACCCACACAGTTCAAATCCATGTTGTTCCAGGGTGAGCTGTATTCATAAGTTCAAACAAAGAGATTCAGAGAAAATATGTCCTCTTATGAAATGAAGTTATTTTAAAACTGTAATAGAAGAAGAGACAAACTTGTGTTAAAACCCCAGGGTGGACTATTAGCAGGTGAGTGAGTGTTGAGTGGTGTGCTGGGGTGGCCCAGGAGAGCCACTGGTGTGCTTCTCCTCCTAGTGCCTTGTTCAGGGACCTCATTCTGGTAATTTGAAATAAAAAATAAAACATGATACAAACAAGTGCAAATGATACAAATCAGGGCTTTGAGGGAGTAGGAGGGGATTCAGATGCTAAAACATCTGTGAGCATAGCCCTGTGACAGTCACACACACAAAACAGCAAAGCAAGTGTTACCTTGAGAAAGAAACAAAAAAGTCCATTGGAAAGATAATCACAGTACACTACGATGTGCACCTTGAAATAACTGACTGCATATGATAGTATAATGCAAATATCAAATTGTAATATATCCAAAAATTGTAATATAACTGCATTGGGCAGGATAAGAGAGCAGAAGCAGAGAAAAAGGTTACACAAGAGCCTTAACCCCCATGTATCATAAGAGGTCAATAAATGATACCTAAACTTAACCCAAAGGTTAGCAATTTATACATATTTATAAATATGAATTTGAGTAAAAGCCAGAATAAACAGCTAAAATTTGAAAGGAGCTGCGTCTTTGGTTGGAGAAATCTCAGCTGGGAGATGGGTGTGTGGGGAAGAGAATCCACCCTACTTTGTGATAACCCTTTAATGATTATTTGATTTTTTTAAACTATATGAACACACAGTTTCAAATTCTAAAAAATATTATATTAGTTTCATTTTCAAGTAGCATGCTTAATGACTCTAAGTGATCCCTAACTTCAAGGGAAGCATAACTCCAACTCTAAAGCACCGTGTCCAACTCTCAACCTACACAAAGTACAGCAGAGCACATACCACAGAGCATCCAAACACAAGGCAAACCAACATATTTATTTCCTATTTAAAAGTTAAAAACTGGACCCTTTGCTTTAAATGTACAGGCTTTTCTGCTTGCTTCAGCAGCAAATATTCTAAAGTTGGAATGATAGTGAGAAGATCAGAATGACCCCTGCAACAGAATGACATACAAATTGTCGAAGTGTTCTATATTTTTAAAACTCCCAACACACAAAAGCCCTGGACCAGATGGGTTCACAGGAGAATTCTACAAAGCATTTAAGGAAGAGCTAACCCCTATACTTCACAGACTATTCCAAAAAATCCAAGAAGATGGAAGACTCCCAAAATCTTTTTATGAACCCAGCATCATCCTAATCTCAAAACTAGATAAAGACACAATAAAGAAAGGAAACTTCGGGCCAGTATTGCTGATGAACACAGACAATAAAATCTTCAACAAAATATTGGCAAACTGCATCCAGCAATACATTAAAAAGATCACACACCATGATCAAGTGGGATTCATTCCAGGGAGGCAAGGCTGATACAATATTTGCAAATCAATAAACATAATACATCACATAAACAAAAACAAAGACAAAAATCACACGATCATATCAATAGATGTGGGAAAAGCATTTGATAAGGTACAGCACCCATTTATGATAAAAACACTCAGCAAAGTGGGAATAGAGGGAGTGTTCCTCAACCTAATAAAGGCCATACATGAGAGAACTACAGCGAACATCATACTCAGTGGGCAAAAACTAAAAACTCCCACTAAGATCAGGAAAAAGACAAGGTTGTCCACTTTCACCACACCTATTCAACATAGTATTGAAAGTCTTAGCCACAGCAATCAGACATGAAAAAGAAATCAAAGGCATCCAAACTGAAAAGGAGGAAGCAAAACTGTCATTGTTTGCAGATGGCATGGTAATATACACATAAAATCCTACAGACTCCACCAAAAAACTACTTGATCTAATAGGTGAATTTGGCAAAACCAGAGCAGGATACAAAGTGAATATGCAGAAATCAAAGGCATTGTTTTACACCAACAATGAAATATCAGAAACAGAAATTAGGAAAAAAATCCTATTTAATATAGCAACAACAAAAATGAAGTACCTAGGAATAAACCTAACAAGGATGTAAAAGACCTGTACTCAAAAAACTACACAACACTGAAGAAAGAAATTAAGGAAGACACAAACAAATGGAAGCATATACTATTTTCGTGAACTGGAAAACTTAACAACATAAAAATGTCCACACTACCCAAAGCAATTTATAGATTCAACACAATTCCTATTAAAGTACCAATGGCATATTTCACAGATATAGAACAAACATTTCAGAAATGTACATGGAACCATAAATGACCCCAAACAGCTGCAGCAATTTTGAGAAAGAAGAACAACATAGGAGGGATCAAAATACCTGATATCAAACCATATTACAAAGCCATGGTAATCAAAACTGCCCAGTACTGGCATAAGAAGAGATACATAGACCAATGGAACAGAACAGAGAGCCCAGAAATAAACCCAAGTCCCTATGGCCAATTAATATTTGACAAAGGGGGCAGAAGCATAAAATGGAGTAAAAATAGCCTCTTCAACAAATGGTGTTGGGAGAACTGGACAGCTACTGCAAAAAATGAAAATCAATCACCAACTTACACCATATACAAAAATAAATTCAAGGTGGATAAAAGATTTAAATATAAGCCATGACACCATATAAGTCCTAGAGGAGAACATAGGCAGGGAAATTTCAGACATTCCATGCAGCAACATTTTCACCAATATGTCCCCTAGAACAAGGGACATAAAGGAAGGAATAAACAAATGGGATCTCACCAAATTAAAAAGTGTCTGCATGGCTAAATAAAATAGCATTAAAATGAAAAGAGAACCAACTATATGGAAAAAATATTTACCAATGATATCTCAGACAAGGGTTTGATCTCAAAAACATATAAAGAACTCACATGACTCCATTCCAGGAAGACAAACAACCCAATTAAAAAATGGGCAAAAGACTTGAACAGAAACTTCTCCAAGGAGGACATACAGAGGACCCAGAGACATACTTTTAATATGTCTTTTAAGATGCTCACCTTCACTATCCGAACATCAGGGAGATGCAAATTAAAACCACAATGAGATACCACTCACACCACTGACAATGGCCATCATAAACAAATCAACAAACAAGTGTTGGAGAGAATTTGGAGAAAAGGGAACCCTAGTGCACTGTTGGCGGGAATGCAGACTGGTGCAACCACTGTGGGACAGTATGGACTTTCCTCAGAAAACTAAAAATGTAACTAACTGCTTTTTGACGCAGCAAATCGACTGCTGGGACTGAATCCTAAGAACCCTGAAACAGCAATTAAAAAGAACCTATGCACCCCAATTTTCATAGCAGCACAATTTACAATAGCCAAGTGCTGGAAGCAACCTAAGTGCCCATCGGTCAATGAATGGATCAAAAAACCATGGTATATTTACATGATGGAATACTATGCAGCAGAAAGAAAGAAGGAGCTCCTACCATTTGCAACAGCATGGATGGAACTGAAGACCATTATGCCAAATGAAATAAGCCAGGTGGTGCAGGACAAATACCATACGATCTCACCTTTAAGTAGAACCTAGTCAACAAAACAAACAAGCAAGCAAAATATAACCAGAGACACTGAAATTAAGAACAATCTAACAGTAACCAGAGAGGAGGTGGGAAGGGATAATGGGGGGGAAGAGAAGGGTTTTCAGGAACAACTATAAAGGACACATGGACAAAACCAAGGGGGGTGGGGTGGGGGCTAAATGCAGACAACTGCATTTGAACAACAATAAAATAATTTTTAAAAAAATTTAGAGGCCTTTTACCTGATGGAAGTGAAAAATATATAAAATATGTGAAAATGTGAACATACTGCTCATATGTAACTTTAGGTTTCCTGCCTTTGTGGACACTCTGTATATTACATTGATAAAATTAATTTTAGAAAGACATCCAATGCATCTTCTGAACCAGATTTTAGGGTTTACCAAAATTATTTAAAATGACCTATAATCAGGAAAAGTTACTTTTTCTCTGACTTACAAAAGTATAATTGACAAAACTGTATCTATTTAAAGTATACAATATAATGATTTCCTTTACATTGTGAAATGACTACCACAACTGGATTAATGAACTCATCCATCACCTCCCAGAGTCACCATTTTTGTTAGTTGTTGTAAAAATGCTTAAGATCTACTCTCTCCATAAATTTCCAGTATATAACAGTGTTATTAAACGCAGTCACCAGGCTGCACTTTCAATCCCAGAACTTATTCATCTTCTAACTGAGGCTTGTATTCTTTGACCAACATCTTCCCATTTCCCCCAGTCCCCTGCCCCTGGCAACTATCACTGTACTGTTTCTATGAGTTCAATTTTTTTTTTTTTTTTAAGAATCCACATATAAGCGAGATCATATAGTTTTTGTCTGTGTCTGGCTTATTTCACTTAGTATAATGTCCTCCAAGTTCATCCATCTTGTTGCAAATGGCAGGATTTCCTTCTTTCTTAAGGCTGAGTAACACTCTAATATGTGTGTGTGTATTACCTCTTCATCCATTCATACCACGGTAGGTCACTTTCACATCTTGGCTACACTGTGAATAATGCTGCAATGAACACAGGAGTGCAGATCTCTTTGATGTACTGATTTTATTTCCTTTGGATATATACCCAGAACTGGGATTGCTGGATCATAAGGCAATTCTATTTTTAATTTCTTGAGGAACCTCCATACTATTTTACATAATGGTTGTACCAATTTACACCAACAGTGTAAAAATGTTCTAATTTCTCCATATTCTCACCAACATTTATTATCTCTTGCCTTTTTGATAACAGACATCCTAAACAGGTATGAGGTGAAATCTCACTGTGGTTTCTCACATACCTGTTAGCCATTTGTATACCTTCTTTAGAAAAATGTCTACAGTCATGTCCCATAAGATTACAATGAAGCTGAAAAATTCCCATTGCCTAGTGATGTTGTACCGTCATGATGCTGTGGCCTTCACGTAGTGGCAGGAAGACTGCGAAACTCAACAAGGCTGTGGTTGAGATGGCGAACAATTAAAACCTGCCTGTGGATGCGGGTGATACAGGGGAGCTCCCAGAGTTGCTTTTTGAGGAACTGACCAATGAGGAGTTGTTGGACTGAACAGGAGCACAGGTGAAGAAGAGGCAAGAGAAAAGGCAATGGTAGAAGAAAAGGAATCCCCAAGAAAATTCATAGTGAAATGTTTAGCAGAAGCTTTTGCAGACCTCAACAAGCTCCTTAAAATGTTTTAAAAACACGGATCCCAACTTTGAAAGGTTTTTATTAACAGAGAGGAAAGTTCATGGCACATTATCTTCTAACAAGGAAATGTACATTGGAAACAAAAGCAACAAAGCAAGCAAACCACAATGGACCTATTTCTGAAAAGAGAGACACCTCCTTACAAAGAGGCTCAGGCAGGTCCTTCCACAGGTGTTCCAGAAGAGATGTTGTTATCGTGGAAGAAGGCAGCTCCATGCATCTTATTCCCACCAAAGAGCAGTAATAAGATGTTCCAGATGTCATGGTGTGAGACAGTGATATTGGTGATTCCACCCCTGTGAAGGCCTAAGCTAATGTGTTTGTGCCTTGGCTTCTAATAAAAAACTTTAAAAAGTAAAAAAAAAAAAAAAAAAAAAAAACAGTTGAGAAAAAGGTTGACTGATGAACTGTTTTAGAATGTTAAGCTTCTCCCCCAAAACAGAAAATAGCTTCTAGAATAAGGATATAAAGAAGTGACCCAGTCCTGCAAATGCCATTGGTAGTAAGTGCCCTACACAAGTGTACTATATTTTATCTTTCATACTGCATTTTTACTCTACCTTTTCCTCTGTGTAGATATTTTCAAACCCACAAATACTTACTTTTGTGTTACAATTTCCTACAGTATTAATACAGTAACATGCTGAACAGGTTTGTAGCCTAGGAGCAATAGGCTGCTCCCTACAAGCTAGGTGTGCAGGAGGCTATGCCATCCCACTTTATCTAAGTGTGCTCCATGATGTTCGCATGATGAAAAGTTCTCAGAATATATCCTGCCATTTAGCAACACGTGACAGTACTTAGGTCCTTTGCCCATTTTTCAGTCAGGTTACTTGGGT